CGAAGCCAGGATCAAGACGCCCGGGGGGAGGCGCGTTCTCCGAGCCGAGGCTCGGGCCGCAGCCAACCCCCCCAGATGTGTCAGCCCCACCTCGACGACCGGGCGCTGAGCTCCTTACGGAACCCCGCTAACGCCAGTATCAATCAGGGACTTGACTGACGACATCTGCTCCTGGAAAAACGGTTAACGAATCAACAGGAACACTTTTACAGGTGCTGAATCAAGAGGGGGGGCGGTACAGAGACGGAAGCAGTAGGAGATGCAGAAGGGGCATGAGTGCGTGAAGACGAAGCCGCCTTTGGTCGCCTTTAGCTTTTTGGGAGCCGGCTCGGCGTGGGGAAGCGGCTCCATGGACCCCTTTTTACTATGGGGAGCTTGGACGGGGATCCTGTGCCCAGAGATCACCCCCCACCGGAAGCAGGTTGCCGTAAAAACAGCGCAGTCTATCCGCCCGCCCGAATGGTTTGGGGAGAACATGGCACATGCTGCACACACCTCTTCCTCATGTTCCTTCTGCACTAAACAGCGTAAAGCAGACCTCGTGGGTATCCCGTGACGGGAATTGCAGCAAGGCACGGTACAGGGTTTAAACTGCAACAAGTAAAAACCTGTGCAGCAATCTACCCGATACCCACATACAAATACATGTAAAAGACGATGGGCTTATTACACAACTAATGCGACAAACGTAGCATGCAGTTGACAACCTAGTACACACTGCAGCATAACTAACAATTACGCTTTTTTAGCGTAATATAGAAAATGCGAGCAGTAGACATACGCCCTACTGCGCATAAAGATACAAATAAAACCACTAAAACCACCTGTAACATTGAAAACCACATGGGAAACCAATGAACAGGAAGGCTAGCGAAGGGACCTGTCCGCCATCTTGACACGCACTAGCGAGCCGATCGCGACAGGTACCAAGTTACAACGAAATTATGAATGAAAAATTCAGAAAAAACCTCCAACCGCCCATGCAGGGAAAAAAGAGAACCATACATACAGTTGCAGTTTCTGAAACACTCATAACTCTCTTAGTCGCAAGGAAAAACCTTCTGGTATGGACCCACGTCTTGTCGGTACAACGACAGCATGGAAAGTGAGGTACGAGGTTACGGTCTAGAGTTACCTGCTCTTGGCTGTAGGGGGCCGGAAGGCCCTGTAAGGGTGGTCTCACAAGACAAAACGTAGTTTTTGTTTTGTAAATATTTTATTCAAATATTGTTACAACTGTCGTAGGGAATTTAAATGGACATTTAAATGCTTATAAGTACCCCAAGGAGGAATATATAAAAAAGAATGATAACCCCCCTTACCTCCCCAGAACAAAATGGGTGACACCCCCTTAACCCCCTGGATGCCACAGGGACATATATGTCCTTCCCCATCAACCCTTAATGTCAAGTCCAATAAAAATCAAAATATCCCACGCACACAAATACACTTCACAGTTTCGAATTCTGCGGGAAATTTCCTGTTTCTTGACACCATCCACTATTATTTTAGACAAAGCTCAAGTGCTGAAAATGACCTTCCACAATAGGCTTCATCGAAAATGTCGCCATTTTTGACACAGTACGAAATCGCGATTCACAGCGTTATTTGCTGTATGTTTTGAAATGTGAAAATCGGATAATTCCTGGGAGTACTGAATTTAAAGAATAACATATTCGTGATCACTGATATCAGTTTTACATGAAATCGCTAATTATAATTCTGAAACGTTGCCGATGAATCTAGAATCGGTTGGGATGTTTTCGAAAATGCACTTACACGAACACCGTAGAGCGCTTTCCGCCATATTGGATAGTGTTTACAAAATCACGTTTCGTGAAGGCCGGTATTGAGACGCCTATTACATCACGTATATTTCATATTCAGCTTCGAAAAATGCATCACTGAATTCCCCATACATTTTAGAATCCCATTGCAACTGGTCTGTGTCACCAATACCAACTGTCTAGATAAAATGAGACGAAACATATTGGGTGTGAAAACGAACGCTGTGCTTGAAAGACTGTGCTGGTTCGAAATGTAAACAAAGACAAATTCTGATTTTACACTGCGTAGCATTTTCTGAAATTTTCCAACATTCATCCGTCTATTCATAGCTTGCAATGGCTCAATACCTTTTGAATATGCATGGAAAGAGTATCGTAGTAAGAAATAGGAAATTATAAATAGATACAATGCAATGATTTGATAATTGATAGGAAATTGTCAAAGTTTCCGTTCAGCGTAACGCCATGACTGACGCAAAATCACGCAGAACGACAACTGTAATTATCAGCATTTCTGGCTTCTTCTCTTACTTACAGTGAAAACGATAGAAACATATAACAATACACAGTTAGTCAGAATCATTCTGATTACTTACATGTCATATTTATGTACAAACGATCCCTGAATCAATGGAAGGGTCCTCGCAAAATCCTGTGTATCCTTGTCAGCCATTTGTAAGAAATAGGTCATCGGTAGTGATGTCATACGTCAACATTGTTGTACATATTAGGCAATTTCTTTGAGGTGAAGGTCGGTTGAACAAGAGTTAACACAATCGCCCAATCCTTCCGATGACACTGTCAGTATTATGATGTATATTTTGCGGATAGTTCAGATACTTTTTCATGAAACTGACCTCAGTATCTACATTTAGCCTTGTCCAATATCATATCATACGTGCATATAGGGCTTACGGTGTTTCATTCTTTGAAAGTTTTTGATTGTTTGAATAATATTTACATAAGAAATTGACACATTTAGTGCAGTACACCATATTCTAAACCTTTACACAAGTGTTAGAAGATCAAACGTAGCCATAACTGCAATTACTTTAGTTCCTATGATGTACAATATTCAATGCTAATATTGCAGTTTCACATGAACAGGTTAATGAACGGCGATTTGATTAAACCTTATAAGTAAAACTGATAATATTTAATGAAAATGATTTATGTATGTTATGAAATGTATATGCAAACACATTTAAAGGAATTGTCTTGTTCATTGCACATTTTTGTGTTGTTTTATAGAGAAAACAATGATGTAAATTGATTGGCCAGGTGCGCGTTTGTCGGAAACGTTTTATGATTCACTATCATTGTTTTCGATGATATAATCAATTCATATTCGATTTAAAAATATTGTGATGACAGGATATCAAACTCTAACTATATTTATACGAAAATTGTTTAAAAATGTATAAAGCATGCCATGTCTTAATTTGGACAAATCTTACATCCATATCCTAATATATATAATGCGTACTAGTTCCATATATAAAAGCTATCTTTTTTGCATCTTCCATTGCATACATATGAAGAGAAATAGCTACATAATCATAAATAAATAAAATTCCTATCCTAAACAAAATATTCAGGTGTTGTAAAATGTTATTTTTCATTTACGTTAAATTGATGCCAAACAGGTGCGCGTGTTGCTCATGATAAGATACACAGTCAAACTGTCTAATTGTTGATATATTCAGGACACTATTTAAAATGGAAAAAACAGTCATTTTATGTTTTGTCTAAAGAGTGTTAATTCTGACAAAGGAGCCGAGACCTTTCACACAATTAATGGAAATTAAGTGAGATATATACTAATCAGCATGCCAATGTCGTCTTTTTCCGACGTCGCAATATGCATAAAACAAGCAATGACGTCAACTAAAATGTTGTATTATTTTCAGCAATTTCATTACATTTGAAGATATGGCTAGTATTCTGGTAATAACGATGCAAAACTAGTCAAAATACATCTACACAAACAGGAGAATATGGGAATCTAAGAACTAACTTATATATCGGATAGGGCCATCCAAATCGCTATTACGTGCTTTCACATGTAGTACGTTGTCATCTTTTCTTATAAATTGTGAAACTACCAAAGCGTATCTGCTCACATTGGAGAACTTTGAATTGAAATAGTTTAGTTCACCGTGAACAAAAAATAACGAAAATATAGCGTCCGTATCCACAAAAAATACTCTCCATGTGATCTGAGTTACATTGACCTAGTGTTAAGCATAACGGAGTTATGCCCCCTTATCATTATACGTGTATGACCTCTCTGTCGCCGTTTGACGTCGTAGAAGAAATTCCATTTTTGACATTTATTGCGAGTCATTTTTAATGTTGAGCGTATAATGTTATGCATAAGCACATATCCATTTCATATACACTTATGTCGTTCAGATATCAGGCTGTATTTTCTTCGCTCACACTTTCCGTAAAGATGCGAAAATAAAAAATTCGTAGCACAGTGCTTTTATCCGTGCGCGATAAAAAGCGGAGAAATTTACTGTTTTTTAATGCATAACAAAAATTTGGACAACATTTAGTCTATTTCTCAAACCGCCGAGGTAGTTGCACTTACATTTATACCAACGGATAGGAAATTTAATATTCTACATTTCTGTGTAATTTTATAGCCGTACGTAGATCCAGGACGACGTGAGCGTAAATCTCGCACAACGTTCACTTTTCAAACCGTATGAAAATGTGCGCCTGAAAAAAACCTCGGCATCAAGGGGGTTAAACTCATCATCATCCCCATAGACAGAAATTATGAATGGTCCCTTAGGAAAGGAATAGTGTTCCAGTTATCTTAGGACTACGATTCACCATGGACCACGAAAACACGGTCTCTCGATTCATGATAGCGTTCATGTATGTTACTGTGAGCGCTATGTATCTTACTCTTACTCTTAGCTAGATTCAAGACACACTGACAGGCAAGGCTGTTCGTGATTACACCATTGGAAGCTGTTAAACCACGCATCTTTGTGTAAGCGATATTGCTGTCTATTATCATGTCGACACACAGATACGGACTTTTCCATAGTGTTTATTCTCTTATCATGTTTATGGCTTATAGCATCAAAATGCCATGTCATGCTAAGTTTGGAAAGAGTGCTGCCATTATTTTGACAGTGACATTTTAAGATTCATTACAAATCCACACACGCATCTCATAGTCTTACTAATTCTTACCGAGTCAAGCAAGGCGTGAAGTTCCTTAACCTGAGATTCGAGATCGTCTTTCCTTTTCATCAGTGTTTTCATTCGCTCAGTGGTGGCTGCCATCTTGTTTGTTTACTTATTACAAAAGTCACGCCGGCTTTTACAACGAAAATTGATTCTTCTTAAAACTTCTTCAGTAACCCCCTTCCGGAATTCATAGGAGCGAACCTTAGATTACTAGAATGAAAGAGTTGAAACGCAGAGACCATGAACAATATTCAATAGTAAATTTTGTATGATGACTGTTACTTTCGAGAGTTATGGCTGTTTATAGCTGAAGTTCCACAATGAGAAAATTATGTATGTTTCATATGTTTGGAGTTTGTTGTTAATGAATTGACAAAATCAGCGTTCCCATGATCAAGTATGCCTAAAGTATACTAAAATATACCTAAAGTATACATATTTTAGCAGGGATTGGGAAAAAGACTTTGACAATGAACCATTTTCAGGATTATTAGCCATTTTCTGAATTTAGAATGGGCCACTGCCCTTGTATCAATAGTAAACTTCAAAATTTTAATGGGCCATTTTTTTTCTAATGTGCAAAATGGCCCATGGACCCTGCCTTTCCCAATCCCTTTTCAAACCCACTCAGTCTTCGAGGCCTCCTCCACAACTCTCTGATTGATTGGTTTAACGCCGCACTCAGCAATATCCCAGCTATATGGCGGCGGTTTGTAAATAATCGAATCTGGACCAGACGATCCAGTGATCAACAGTATGAACATCGATCTACGTAATTGGGGTATGATGACATGTGTCAACCAAGTCAGCGAGCCTGACAACCCGATCCCTTTAGTCGCCTCTTACGACAACCATGGGTTGCTGAAGACTGAGATGAACAGGGATATGATGACATTCATCAAACACGTTAGTCGCCAATTCTAAGCTGGATCTTCTTGGTTTACAAAGATTATATACACCCGATGTCCATAAATACAACTCCGTTATATCATTCACTATCCTAAATGTACAAAAGAGTCTTGAATAGTGAAGGCTTATATGGTGACCATGTGACCATGCACTAATACCCATACACTGTCTGACCTTTGCATTTTTACCGTGCTCTCAATGTACCTTTGGTATTTTCCTTCTCAGGGGGTCATCTTGTCCTTTCTCAAATCTTTGTTATAGTATTGTGTTGAAAATTTAATTCAAATTCTGAAGAACCACAAGGGAAATTTCAATCTCAGAAGAATGATAGTAGCTATAATAATACTCCATACTGTCCAAGAATCATATGCTCAAGGTCAAAAGTCATTGACATGGAATGTTTTCATTTGCTTATCTTGTGAAACACCATTTGGCACTTATGGTTTTCAGAAAAAACATTTAAATAATAGACCATCCCCAAAGGTGCCGTTCACTAGTAAAGACCGTACGTGAAGACAGATGGATTCGAAACACGCCTCTCCGACATATGTACCAACCAGCAACCTTCACAGCCCGTACCATACTTGGCAACAGAGATGTATCTGCGAGAAGAGTTCGACGGCGTCTACGGCATCTGTCCACGACGCCACGCACGGTGACCAAATCCGACCTCAGAACATCGCCTTTGAAGTCTCCAGTCGAGAAGACAACACTTGCGATAGGGAGCACTTTAGTGGAGAACAGTTCTCTTCACCGACAAGCCATGTTTTCTTCTTTACTGCGCCAACGGTTGGTTGGTTGTTGTTTAACGCTTCACTCACCTATATTCCAGCTATATGGCGGTTGTCTGTAAATTATCGAATCTGGACCAGACAATCCAGTGATCAGAAGCATGAACATCGATCACTGCGCCGACGGCAGGTTGTATATAGCTCTACAGGCGCACAGGTGAACGTTAGATAGGCCATGCGTTCTGGACGGGGATCGTTATCAGAAGGGGGCGTTATGATCTTGTGTTGGATAACAGCTGTGATTGAGGGAAACTTGAATTATGTGAGGTATAAAGACTTTGTAAATGGATGCATGCTGTACCGAGTTGACAACAGATAGGCTCTGGAATGACGGTTCAACACGATGACGCAAGGCCTTACGTTGGTAGAGTTGTACAGCAGAGTTTATATCAGAACAAAGTTGTGTACCCTGGCCCGCAAGATGCAATGATCTGTCACTCATTGAACACGTTTGGGATGAAACAGGGCGACGTTTACGGCATCATCGGAGTCCTCCAACGTTGCAAGAACTTTGTAAGTCAAATCTTTCCGCTCGTATATGGAATGATCGTCCCCAGGACTACCATCGAGGTTTAGTGGCCAAAATGGCGAGGACGCCAGTCCTCCAACAACCCACAAGGTTGCTCCTGGAGGTGTGAACCTCCTCGTGTGTGGTGGCTCATAACCATACCTTTAACATGCGTCTCTCCACGTGATAACATTACACTCTCGGCAGTAAACATTGAACACAGATTCTTTGACTCGTGTGTCACTAGGTGTATTTGGTGATGTGGGCAATGTGGCGAATATGAGGTCGAATTTTTGTTGCACCGGTTTCGTTATTACGGTTTATTTTCATCACTACCATGAGCTCCTTTGCTGACATCAGAAGCATCAGGGCTGTTCTCAGATGAGTGCAGTGATGAGGACGTATTGAGCGTGGTAATGACCTGTCTACTTGCTGCTGAATGCTTACTTGCTTAACACACTATTTATTGAGTGAGTATGGTTTTACACCCCTTTAAGCAATATTACAGCAACATAGGCGGATCCAGATGGGGGTGCAGGGGTGCCCCTCTCTTGTGCTGAAAGTTTGTTAAATGACCATTGAAACTCGGGTGAAAATGACGGGTGCACCCCTCCTTTTCTCCATCGTGTGCATCCCCCCTTTCTCAAAAAGCTGTTTCCGGCCCTGAGCAATGTCACTAACGGGGACACCAGAAATTGGCTTCAAATCATTGTACCCATTTAGTGAATTGACCTGGGTCTTTGATGTGACGACTGGATGCTTTAATCACTAGTCTATCCCAAATTATTGAGAAAATTCTTTGGTTTATCCGGGAAAGACTAGGGCGATGGAGTTTTTTAGAGGTCGAAACACATAACTTACTCAGCGCAATATTTTGATCGTGTGGGAAAACTCTATTCATGTGAGGCTCAACACGTCTTCAGAACAGATTCAAAGTCTTATAAATGCCTGTATGCACATCTACTAACGGCGCTATGAACGTTTTGAGATGCTGGTCGGACAAACATTAAAGTCCTGCATTGTCAGTTTTGAATATCAGAGCATAGTACTACAGAATCTGTTCTCTGGGTATCAGTCACATAGGATTCTATAGTGACATAAGAAGTAATAAATCAGGAAAATACATCTTCATCTTTATTATTTTCTTAGTTTTGTTCCAGCACAAACAAATACATATCAATACTAGTATGTATTTCTCTGTCAAATATTTCATTAATATACAACAATGGTAACAAGTAGATAGGTAGGACATGTACCTGCGATATACAAGAAGACAATTACAGGCAAATTCACACTCCACAACATGGATGATGACTGGTATCAAGTTACCAAACGTCTGTTAATAACCTTCTATGAGGCAAAATATTTATTTCAACTTTATGTACAAACTGTTCTTTCAATATCAGAGGAAGACAGATCCTGCATTGGTCATAATAATGACTGTGATGAAATGATGACCATGATGAAACAATGACTGTGATGTAATGATTACTGCAATGTAATGATGGTGAAGATACAAATGATGACGGTGCTGTCAGAAAGTGATGTGATGACTGAGATGATTGAGATAGTGACTGTGGTGTCTTCAATTTTCTTCTACATGTTCTAACACCAGCAGCTTGTGTCCATCAGTATCTCTGTTGTACATGAATCTGTTGGTGAGATGAGCCCGCCAGATAACAAGAGTTATCTCCCCTTGATATAGGTGCCCCTTTTGTGAAGGGCCTGTGAGGTCACTTGGGAGCATATGGCTGTTGTTAAGGGTCTATTTGTCAACAAGGATGACAAGCTTCTTGAAGAGGTTGGTCACTTGAAGTCTTCTGAGCATATAAGGCTGTACTTAAGCCAACAGGGATCTCAGTCTGGTTGAATAAGGTTGGTCAGAGGTCCCTTCTGAGCAAACATGAAGGTAGTGGACTCAGATGGTTGGGGCTGTTCTACAATCACTTCTGAGCATACATGGCTGTAGTGAAGGGCCCACTAGTCAACAGGGACCTCAGACTGGTTGAAGGTTCCAGATGAGCAGAGGCAGAGATGGTCTGTGCTTTAGCTCCTGAAACAACAGAATGATCATTATTTATATGTAACAGCTCATATGATTCACATTTACTGGGCAACCACTGGCATGTTTAACAAATATTTACTGTAAATGTATTTGTGAGATAAACCCAAACTCATTTATGTGATGTTTACAATATGCTTAAATAAATTAGCAAACACTACTACAGAATGTGACACTGTTTTGATATTTCAGCAAACATGGATTTGACCATAATAGATATGTAAGTGCACATGGATTTGAACAGATAACTTCAACCATGTTAGTGTGAGGCCACTGATATAGTGGACTGCAACTCTATCACTATTTGTACAGTGGGATATAAAAGTACAAGTAACACAGAAAATACCCTGCTTCCATTTGTATGGTAGAATTATCATCAACCCTTGAAATCAAGTATCTCAGCATTTCATAAACAAACAAATGGATTTCACCAGTGAAAATTGGTTGAAAATGGAAGTTACATTTCATTTCCCTGGTGGATTAAAACATGCAAAGGAATAAAATCAGACTGGCAGAATGGAGTCTGGTAAAATGCATTACTGCAAATAATCGAATCTTTATAATTTTCCATATAAACAGTCATTTACATGCCAGTCAGTGTTAAGGTATTGGGGACTTATAAAGATCCCAAATAGAATTGATCTGCAGTAACCCAAGCATGTCACACAAGGCACCTAACAGGGTCGGGTGGTCAGACGTGCTGGCTTGGTTGATGCATGCCGTTGTAAATATCGTTGATCATCATATCATTCCTTGGATCGACCATGGTCATATAGCAGGGTTATTGCTGAATGTAGCATTAAACAATGAAAAAGAAGAAAGAATTTTTCAAAACTGAGATAAGGAGTAGTGGGTAAGATCATCTTGGTGCTACCATAGATTTCAGAAACAGGACCCAAACACCTGTTTTACATCTTGATCTTTGTGCTTCACCTATGCTGAGCATATGTTAAATTATGAACTCACTGACTAATAATCCCATGTAGCACACGACACTATAAACCAGCAGGACATAATGAATCACTATGACGACGTCACAACCTACCTGAAGCTGCCACCAGTTTCCGCAGTGCATCATAGTTGACCATTGGATCATTCTTACAGTGAACGATGTTGTCGATTACCTCCCCTTTGTTGACCTCGAACTTGTGCCACTTGTAGCCGGAACACTTCCTGGCCCCTGGCAGAGACTGTGTGAGGTTCTGGACAATGGGGTGGGTCAACCCAAAGAAATCCACCCCGCTAGTGGCTGTCGGGGTCAGTTCCACACCCCTGCAGCATGAAAAGGCATGGTTATGTAACATTATTCTAGTTTACTTATAGGACTGACCATTTAAAACACGTAATTATGTAATTTTTAAAGATATATACTTATCCTGACTCATGATTATTTGCTTTCTCATTCTCTTTTCCAACCATCAAGTGGAAACTTGAATCCTTCCAATTCCCTTGAAGCGAACGTACATTGACTCACCCTCAATTACCTCCTTTGGTTTCCCGCCAACACCGGCACGTGACCTTGCCATGCTTTGGTCCTCACTCTCTCCGATATATGCCCCACACAGGTCTACAGGGAAACCCGTGTGGTGAGAGGGGACGGTTGGGAGGGCTTCATCTCATGAGTCAGGATAAGTATAAAATATTAATTTTATCATAAAAATTACATGTTTTTCCTTATCCTGACTCATGATTATTTGCTTACTGAATCCGACGGAAAGGTGGTGGGTAAGCCACCTACGGGATTCCCTGCATGATTGTATTCACGTCAGCGTTCGCTTGATTTACCCCCTGGGAATTTTCTTCTTCTGCGGCTAACTTCAATATCTTCTTAATGCTAATTGGGGGACCACCTTCTTATACATACATATTAGAAGTAAACCTAGGTTTTGTGGATTTAGTATACTAGACGCCTTGTTGTCTAGATATTCTGCAACGACCCAATATGTTTGCGGTAAGAACATCACCGAAACTGGTATCGCGACCCATCTGTTAAGGCAAGAACATTACCATAACTGAGTCTGTGTATCACTCATGCGCTGTCTTATCTCTTAAGACAGGGGAACATGCACTCTCAGCTGGTGGCAATGGAACAGTTGCCTGGCATCAACGAGTCTGCGTGACAAGGGTGAGATTCTTCATCGTCTGGCCGGCATAGTGAGTTGCTGCACTATGACTAGAGGGCCGAATTGATGTATTCCAGATACATCTTCCGTGGAGATGTCTCTCAGGTAGTGGTTAGCGAAGACAGGGTCTGACTTCCAAAAAGCAGCCTTTCATTGTAGATGATATTGAGCAATTTCCATGTAGGGCCAGTGCTCTTGGAGGCTCTAACCCTGCTGCTTTGTAGGCTCTTAGGATCACCGCTCTGATCCAAAAGGAGACTGTAGTACGGGAAACTTCCACCGTCGTAGCGGGAGATAGCGGGATAAATATACGCTTGAACTTCCTCCTTCTCGTAGCAGATCTCTGCAAGTAGATTTTCAGCGCTCTGACCGGGCATAATGATAGATCTTCAGTGTCCTGTGGACCCAGGATGGTTGATAATGCCAGAACGTAGAATTGACGATCCGGTTGTCCCGGTAGCTGGTTCTTGGTTATAAAGTCCCATCTAAGGCCTAGATGGACTGCTTCCCTTCTTCCCGTGTCGAATCTCATACGGTTGAAGTTAAGGGAGTGTATCTCTGACATCCGAGCTGCAGTAGCCAAGGCGAGGAGGAATATCGTCTTTTGAGTTAATAACTCAATTGTCGTCTGTGTCAGCAGCTCATATACCTCACTGATGAGGTGATGTTGTACTATGTTGAGGTCCCAAGCTGGTGCCCTGAACCTCTGTTGTTGATCTTCTAACTTGAAAGATCTCAGCAGGGCTACAAGTTCAGGCACCTTGGTCAACTTCACCCCTGTCTTCATGGTGATGACCGAGCTGATTGCCGCAAGGTAGACAATGTGGAACCCTTCAGATGTAGACAAGGTAGACAAAGTGGAACCCTTCAGATGTCTAGTGGACCTCAAATGACACAAGTAATCTGCTACTTGTGGATTAGTCACTCTTCTGGCCGCGAACCCTTGTCAAACAGCATACTGTTCAAAGCTTCTCCACTTGTCATCATACAGGTTACGTGTAGATCTACGTAGAGCCAAGGTTACTGCCTTGGCTGCTCTAGTGGAGTATCCTCGACCCTTCAAGCAGTATGTGATATGCTCCATACGTGTAACTGGAAAACTTTTGGGTTGCCGTGATGCTGCTTGGTGTGAGGATGGACGAGTAGATTCGGCCAGTCTAGGAAGTCGTAGTACTGGTTCGCCGTGAAGATCTATGAGGTCTGGCAACCATAGTCTCGCTGGCCAGTAAGGCGCTACCAAAGTCAGTTGTAGGACCCTTGTCCGGCTGATTTTGCGTAGTACTTGTGGTAGCAGGATCAGTGGAGGGAAGGCATAAGCCTTCATTCCTTCCCATGATATGGCTAAGGTGTCGCCAACCCATGCCAGCTGGTCTGGCACTGGCAAGACGAATGTTGTCACCTGATTGTTGAAACGGGGTCGTAAACAGTTCGATGAGAGGACGGCCGAGTTGGGCTGTTATCCACTGGAATGCCTCCGGATGTAACTTCTACTCTGTGGGATACGGCCGTACTGTTCTGGATAGAGCGTCTGCTAGGACGTTCTACGGCCCTGGGATGTGGCAAGCCCTCATCTTCAGGTTGATTTCGTCTGCGATGTCGAACAGCTGGAACATCAGTTGAAGCAGAGGCGCTGATCTCGTGGACCCTTGCAGATTTATGTAAAAGACCACCGTGGAGTTGTCTGTGTGTATCATCAGTACCTGATCTTTTAACTGTGCCACCCAATGTAGTACTGCTTCTATTACTGCTTTCAGTTCTAGCTGATTGATGTGCAGACCCATCTCTGTTTGTGACCACAGCCCTGCTGTAACTTTGTCGTTGAGATGTGCCCCCCCAGCCTTGGAGGGACGCATCCACATAGAGATGACTCTTGTAATTTGGCTCTCTCAAATAGGTTCCGCCGCAGACATTTGACCTTACTGTCCACCAAAGCAGGAATTGCTTTAGATGTTGTGGGATGGCGAACTTCTGGACATTGTCTAGATGAGATATCAGGAACCTCTGTAGCGGACGAAGTTGCAATCTTCCTCTGCGGGTGAGAGCCTGTGCCTGGATGTATTGGTATATGTAGATAGGCATCTTGCAGATCTATGCTGGCCATGAAGTCGTTGGGTCGGATAAGATGTCTCAGCTGAGGTAGATGTAACATCTTGAACTTCTCTGGTCTCAACAGGTAATCTCTGTTGAAGCTCTTCATATTGAAGATAAGTCGGAACTTCTCTTGGGAGTTCTTCTTGGGCACTAGGAAGATTGGAGAGTAATATCCGAGCTTGAGTCTGCGTTGATCGACGACCTCTACAGCACCTTTTGCCACCAACATCTCGATAACCTTGGTGAGCTTGCCTCGCTGTAGCTGAGGATACTTGAAGACCCACGGTTGATCTGTCAACGGTGGCGTCGACTGTAACTGGATGCTGTATCCCTCTCGTAAGACTTCTGTGACATAGTTGTCCTGTAGAACTCTCCAAATTTCCCAGTATAGACCCAGACGTCCACCCACAGATGACGGTTTTACAGGAACGGCTGGGGTTGGAAGCGACCAGTCGCTCCGAACCTGCCCTTCAGTAACTTCTAGTATTACTGGGACGACGAAAGGATCCCGTGTTGCCACCACGTGTAGCTGGGAACTTCTTCTCTTTGGCTCTCTGAATACCAGAGAAGCGGGATCTTAGTTGACTGTGCTGAGTCGATTGACGCACCATGGTGTTCATCGTCTGGTCGGACTTGATCAACATCAAGTTTTTGGAGTCTTGAGATACTTCATGTGACAACTGCCGGATGCCGCCGTCAAACAGAGTAGGCACTGCCCAAGGCTTCCTTAGTAGAGGCTTGGTGTAGACATCTGGCCACGTACAGGAACTCAGCAACCCTTGACGACGTAGAAGAATGATGCCCGCTGATGTAGATGCCAAGTGATTGGAGATAAACTCCTGATCCTTGCGCTGGACAACTAGTGTAGACCGGATCATCTTTTCTTCCTCCGTCTTAGGATTCTTGAAAGCGTACATCAGCGCCTTGTTGATGGCTCTAGACCTCGCTAACCTGTAAAAGGCACTACGGGTTGTCATATCAAGCTGTGCCAATCTCTTGTCTTCTACCTTGTAACTGCGAGACTTCGAGTCTGTGACCAGGTAGAAATTTTCATCAATCTCAGGTGCCATGTCGAACTGACTCATGTTGTGATGCCGGAACCATCTAGGGTTAAACTGTGGAGTATGTTGCCCTTGTGTCTTTGAAGCCTTCTCAAAGGCTGCTTTCAGGTTGTCTGCTACCTGGGCAATGGGCTTCATCGGCGGGATAGTAATCGATTCGTAGTCATCTCCCTTCATACAGTACGTCTTGGCAGGATTAGCGTCTTTGGACGGGGACGATAACGGGAGACCATCAGCCACCCACGCCAGCACCTCAGCTTCAGTGAAGACGAATCCATCATCTTCTTCAGTATGCTGCCCCTTATCATCTGCCAGTCCGTGATGTGAGATGTCTACGTTGACTGCTGACGACGTAGTAAAAAGACCAGTCTGCACTGTGTGCTGTCATCTCGCAGGAAACCAAGGGAGGTAATTGAGGGTGAGTGATTGTACGTTCGCTTCAAGGGAATTGAAAGGATTCAAGTTTCCACTTGACCGTTCAGAAGACTGACTGACTGAGTTTTAGTTTTACGCCGCTTTTAGCAATATTCCAGCAACATCACGGCGGGGGACACCAGAAATGGGCTTCACACATTGTGCCCATGTGGGGATTCGAACCCGGGTCTTCGGCGTGACGAGCCGACGCTTTAACCATTAGGCTACCCCACCGTCCCCCCGTTCGGGAAGAGAGGATGAGAAAGCAAATTATCATGAGTCAGGATAAGTATAAAATAAATAAAATTGGTTTGTTTTTGTGGATTATAGAACAACAAAATATCAAAGCAACATGAAATAAGCATCTAAAAACAACTACATAATCAAAAGATGAAATGATCATGTCCATGCTTTTCTTTGATTCATTTACATCTCATATTTAGTATATATGTGTGCAATGCATTACCACATTCCCACAGTGCAGTCTGTTTATACTATAACCTGATTATAACCTGCGTCAGTGCAGCCTGGTCATTGTCACCCCTCCCCCTGCCCCACCCTCTTCCTTCTCCCTTCTAAAGTCAGGACTATCTGAACAACCTGTATATAAATGTCACGAGAGGCGTGTCCTACTCACTTGGCCTTGAAAATGGCTCGCTGTAGCATGCTGTGACACTCTGCTGGGGACTTGGCCTTCCACACCTTGTCAGGGCAGTCGTCAGGGGCGATCTCAAACTAGTGTAAGGATGAAGTGAGATGGGTTTAATGACATCTGGAGCAATACGCCAGCAACATCATAAGGGAGCATCACGAATGGGTAAGGCTTAGGACATTTTGAGCAATAGTCTAGCAATAACATGACATGGGGGACATCAGAAATAGTTAAGGAGTAGGTTTTCCACATCTTCCCCTTTACAAGATTCCACTAATATGACACCAAAAATGGGCTTCAGTATATTCCTGAATTGATCAAGATCTAGAAACTCTAATTTCTTGATAATTATTGTTGAATTGAACTAAACTTCATTCCCTTAAGATGCAGGGTTTAATCAAATCACAACACATCTCTGGTACTACTGCTATTACTACTACTAGGCAAGCACAAGCAGAACTGACTTTTTGAGTGTCTTATTTTTATATGTTTGGTGGTACTTGAACATTATTAAATTTGCAGTCAATGCAGTAGACATGAAATACAAACTTTTCAATTCCCATGTGGGACTTTTTACTGACACTTGCTGACATAAAGAGGACCTGACATCCACTCATGAGTGGGTGGAGATAAACCCCTGTTTTGGAAAACCTCCTCCACCCTGTCAGTGTCACTCACCACTGGGCTGGAGCCGGAGTCGGATATCTTGCATGTGTACAGACAGCGAACTTCAGTGTTCGTCACGTTGCCGTAGACGCGGGTGCTGCAGAAGCCGACGGGGTAGATGGCTTCAGCAGAGTGGAAACAGGAGCGATCTGGGTTCAGCTAAAAGTATGCACAATGTGATTGTAATGCGGGAAGAAAGTCATACACAAGGTGATTGTCAAAAAATGGCACCGTCATACACAATGTGATCGTCGTGAACAAAGTGATTGTCATACAAAAAGTGATTGTCATACACAAAGAGCATGATTGTCATACACAATGTATTGTCATACACAAAGTGATTGTCATACACAAAGTGATTGTCATACACAAAGAGCATGATTGTCATACACAAAGTATTGGCATACACAAAGTGACTGTCATACACAAAGTGATTGTGGTTGTCAGACATGAAGGTGTAGAGGCAAGATGGTGTGGTTGTGTAAGGTGGTAAGGTGGTAAGCAGTTACCTCCCCCTAGGCTGTGGACAGTCAGGTCCCCAAGGACAAGAGGGAAGACTGGGCGGCCGGTTGGGTCAAGGGGGATCAGGGGAATAGCTATCCTGCGATTGGCTCCAGCTGATTTACTCTTCTTAGGCTTCGGCTGGACAGACTCTGAAAACATTGAATATGGGAAACGGATCCATCAAGGTGGTGCCACACACAACACCATTCTCTTGTCAAGGTGCAAACAAAGAACAGTTATCTGGTTTGCTTCTTAATTAATCTTGTGATTTAATCTTAGTTTATACACGTCCCCTAACTTTACAACAGAAGAAACGGAGACACAGGTTCATAACACAGAGCTTGGAACAAGTTGAATATGACCTATGGCCTTTACATTATAAATATAGGCAAAACACAGCAATGACTTTTCAATAGTGTATATCTTGAGGATTATGCACATTATTTCTCTTGGAAAATAAAATTAAAAACAATACTCTGGTGAAGAAATTCACCATTACTGGAGAATGTCCCATGTCAGTGTAGGCTACATAGACGGAGATGAACACACTCAGGTATGAGGAGGCTCACCGATAAGCTCCTTGCTAGCAGAACTCTTCTTCTTGTCTGTGGAAGTGGGTGGGGCCTTCTTCTTTGCTGACTTGGACTTGCTGGGGATGGGTGTGGTTGTCTCTTGCATCGTCGTCTCGGATGCTGGTGAAGCCAGCACAACTGGACTTTTTGTTGTCTTGACCGATGGTGTGGTCACTTCCTGTTTGACCGGCGGTGTTGGTGCCTCACTTAGAGACTGGTACTGCAGCAGCTTCCTCAGGAGAAACCTGCATCAGTTATGTCCATCAGTGAAATCAATATGCTGATAGTTCACATTGCAAGAAAACAGTATAATTTCCTGACCCTGACAATGTGATACCCACATCCACTGACTATGAACAGACCTTCCCCCAAACCATAGTCTGACACAACATCAGACTGCACACATATCTCCTTTCCTTACCCTGATACAGTCTAAGATAGGAGACATATCTCATCTCCTTATGCTTACACAACCCCTCAGACAGCAGACATATCTCATCACCTTATGCTTACACAACCCCTCAGACAGAAGACATATCTCATCTCCTTATGCTTACACAACCCCACAGACAGTTGACATATCTCATCTCCTTATGCTTACATAACCCCTCAGACAGCAGACATATCTCATCTCCTTATGCTTACACAACCCCTCAGACAGCAGACATATCTCATCTCCTTATGCTTACACAACCCCTCAGACAGCAGACATATCTCATCTCCTTATGCTTACACAACCCCTCAGACAGCAGACATATCTCATCTCCTTATGCTTACACAACCCCTCAGACAGCAGACATATCTCATCTCCTTATGCTTACACAACGCCTCAGACATGAGACATATCTCTCTCTCCTCACCCTGACGCAGCCCCACAGACTGCTGACATATCTCCTCTCCTCACCCTGACACAACCCCACAGACAGCTGACATATCCCCTCTCCTCACCCTGACACAACCCCACAGACAGCTGACATATCCCCTCTCCTCACCCTGACACAACCCCACAGACAGCAGACATATCCCCTCTCCTCACCCTGACACAACCCCACAGACAGTTGACATATCCCTCTCCTCACCCTGACACAACCCCACAGACAGCTGACATATCCCTCTCCTCACCCTGACACAACCCCACAGACAGTTGACATATCCCCTCTCCTCACCCTGACAAAACCCCACAGACAGTTGACATATCCCTCTCCTCACCCTGACACAACCCCACAGACAGTTGACATATCCCTCTCCTCACCCTGACACAACCCCACAGACAGTTGACATATCCCTCTCCTCACCCTGACACACAGCCCCACAGACAGCCGACATATCCCTCTCCTCACCCTGACACAACCCCACAGACAGCAGACATACCACTCTCCTCACCCTGACACAACCCCACAGACAGCAGACATATCCCCTCTCCTCACCCTGACACAACCCCACAGACAGCCGACATATCCCCTCTCCTCACCCTGACACAACCCCACAGACAGTTGACATATCCCTCTCCTCACCCTGACACAACCCCACAGACAGCCGACATATCCCCTCTCCTCACCCTGACACAACCCCAGAGACAGCTGACATATCCCCTCTCCTTACCCTGACACAACCCCACAGACAGTTGACATATCCCCTCTCCTCACCCTGACACAACCCCACAGACAGTCGACATATCCCCTCTCCTCACCCTGACACAACCCCACAGACAGTTGGCATATCCCCTCTCCTCACCCTGACACAACCCCACAGACAGTTGACATATCCCCTCTCCTCATCATGACACAACCCCACAGACAGTTGACATATCCCCTCTCCTCATCCTGACACAACCCCACAGACAGCTGACATATCTCATCTCCTTATGCTTACACAACACCTCAGACAGCAGACATATCTCATCTCCTTATGCTTACACAACCCCTCAGACAGCAGACATATCTCATCTCCTTATGCTTACACAACCCCTCAGACAGCAGACATATCTCATCTCCTTATGCTTACACAACCCCTCAGACAGCAGACATATCTCATCTCCTTATGCTTACACAACGCCTCAGACATGAGTCATATCTTCTCTCCTCACCCTGATGCAGCCCCACAAACTGCTGACATATCTCCTCTCTTCATCCTGACGCAACCCCACAGACAGTTGACTTATCCCCTCTCCTCATCCTAACACAACCCCACAGACAGTTGATATATCTCCTCTCCTCATCCTGATGCAACCCCACAGACAGCTGACATATCTCCTCTCCTCATCCTGACGCAACCCCACAGACTGCTGATATATCTCCTCTCCTCATCCTGACACAACCCCACAGACATATCCCCTCTCCTCACCCTGACACAACCCCACAGACTGCTGACATATCCCCTCTCCTCACCCTGACACAACCCCACAGACAGTTGACATATCCCCTCTCCTCACCCTGACACAACCCCACAGACAGCAGACATATCCCCTCTCCTCACCCTGACACAACCCCACAGACAGCAGACATATCCCCTCTCCTCACCCTGACACAACCCCACAGACAGTTGACATATCCCCTCTCCTCATCCTGACACAACCCCACAGACAGTTGACATATCCCCTCTCCTCACCCTGACACAACCCCACAGACAGTTGACATATCCCCTCTCCTCATCCTGACACAACCCCACAGACAGTTGACATATCCCCTCTCCTCACCCTGACACAACCCCACAGACAGCAGACATATCCCCTCTCCTCACCCTAACACAACCCCTCAGAAAGCCGACATATCCCCTCTCCTCATCCTGACACAACCCCACAGACAGTTGACATATCCCCTCTCCTCACCCTGACACAACCCCACAGACAGCTGACATATCCCCTCACCTCACCCTGACACAACCCCATAGACAGCAGACATATCCCCTCTCCTCACCCTGACACAACCCCACAGACAGCCGACATATCCCTCTCCTCACCCTGACACAACCCCACAGACAGCAGAGATATATCCCTCTCCTCACCCTGACACAACCCCACAGACAGCAGACATATATCCCTCTCCTCACCCTGACACAACCCCACAGACAGCAGACTTATCCCCTCTCCTCACCCTGACACAACCCTACAGACAGTTGACATATCCCCTCTCCTCACCCTGACACAACCCCACAGACAGCCGACATATCCCCTCTCCTCACCCTGACACAACCCCACAGACAGTTGACATATCCCCTCTCCTCACCCTGACACAACCCCACAGACAGTTGACATATCCCCTCTCCTCACCCTGACACAACCCCACAGACAGCCGACATATCCCCTCTCCTCACCCTGACACAACCCCACAGACAGTTGATATATCCCTCTCCTCACCACCCTGACACAACCCCACAGACAGCAGACATATCCCCTCTCCTCATCCTGACACAACCCCACAGACAGTTGACATATCCCCTCTCCTCACCCTGACACAACCCCACACACAGCTGACATATCCCCTCACCTCACCCTGACACAACCCCACAGACAGCTGACATATCCCCTCTCCTCACCCTGACACAACCCCACAGACAGCTGACATATCCCCTCACCTCACCCTGACACAACCCCACAGACAGCATACCTACCTCCTCTCCTCCTTGGACCGGGCCAGCTTCTCTTCTATGCGGATCACCTCGTCACACACGGACCCGTTGATCTACAATGTCAGCAAAATATAGTGATTATTGCTTCTTGACTGGACTCTGCGCGGAATCTAAAATTGCTGCTTATGATAACAAAATCATATTTACTGAAAGTTTTTTTCTGTGAAAAGAATGCAATTTCCCAGATATTTTTTACAAATAGAAATCTGCCCTTTTATTTGTTCCCCTTTGATTGGTTATTTGAGGTTAGAAAAAGCAAAGTTTTCATTTATTGTCCTCATTTCACTCAAATGGCAACTATTTACACAAAAAACTTATAACGACTGACAGTAATTGTGAAGAAAAGCCAATAAAGAATTCCCAGATGATTTACAGAAGGAAGGCACAATGGAACCCTTACTAGCCTACTGTAATATTGGTTCAATGTAAAGTTGAACGCCCGACACTGACACGAGATGAGATAGGTAACTTACAAACACAGTGTCCTTGATGAGCTTCTTGAGGCGTCGCCACTTCCGGTAGTAGTAATCCTGGGGGTGAGTCGCCCGGGCAGCTGAACTCCTCACACCAAACCTGCCAGCTAAATTCCTTGCAGGGTTTGCCTTGGGGAAACTGCTCAACAAACTCTGACCTGGCTGGACTCTGCAATCAGACAACTGACCTGCAGTGTCTCCTCTTTACCATCAGCAATTACTTTGGAAACATAAGACAAGCATATGCTGTGGGGATAATCTATAAATTGAAATATTTTAGGAACATTATAGTAGTGAACACAAGAGATGGTATTCTCATGTTTACCTGTTAAAGGAATCAAACTTGCATCTTCTGCATGAGGCAGCCCTTTAATGATTTAGCTACCTGTGATGATTGTCAGAACAAAGAAATAGCATTCTTGATCCCTAATTGGTCTTCAGTAACCCATGCTTGTCTTAAGAGGCGACTAACAGGATCAGGTGGTCAGGCTCGATGATTCGGTTGACACGTCATTGTATCCCAATTGCATAGATTGATGCTCATGCTGTTGATCACTTGATTGTCTGGTGCAGACTAAATTATTTACACGCTGCCACCATATACAGCGTGCGAAATAGTTTACAAATAATGCAAGCCAGTTGGGCTAGCTATGCCTGGAAGATACTAGACCACAGAATAATTCACTAGTTCGAAATTTGAATGTAGGCAGGGGTTTCATCATCAAACTGCTAATATGATGATCATTTTTATCAGGCCATAATCTTGCATGCTTTAAAAGTGTGTTATAACTTAACAAGTCAGAGAGAATGATTCATCTACAAAATGACTCCATGAAAATTCACTAGCCAGTCGGGCCAGTGGCTATGTAGCACACTGGCCATATAGCTGGAATATTGATGAATGAGTTGTAAAACAACAAACCAAACCAAAAACCAAAACCTGAGTGAGTGAGTGAGTGAGTATGGTTTTACACTGCTTTCAGAATATTCCAGCAATATCACAGCAGGGGACACCAGAAATGGGTTACCATGTGGGGAATCGAACCCGGGTCTTCAGCGTGACGAGCGGACACTTTAACCATTAGGCTTCCCTATCACCCCTGATGATCCTTCAGGGTTTGCACAGATTTAATAATCATATTGGCATATTTATTTAGCATTTTAAGCATAAGGTGACATTGGCACCATTTGTGAGTTGTGAGAATATTTACTACATTGAGTATCGAATGAGTTATCTACCCTGTTAAGTGCTGAATGAGATATAGTATGACCAGAAATTATTGAGAATTATAGGAATATGATTAATTGGATTTCTAGTATAAACAACCTTGACTAGCTATCAAGTGCTTGGTTTCATTCAAGAGAGACAACTCCATTAATCCTTTTTCATTAGTTTGTGAAAAGTTATCCCCCTTTGCTTACTTGCTACCAGACGACATTTTCAGTGATCCTCAGTATGGATGATTTAGAGAAGAGGAAGTTGATGTTAGAGTATTATAACAAGGACATCAGATCAGCTAAAGTGATTTCAAGTAGAACAGGCATCCCTTTGTCCACTGTTTATCGTGTTTTGAAAAATATTGCAAATGGATATGGCATTGAGCACTAGGGAGGCGCAGGTAAGCCCAGAAAATTGACTGTCGGTGACAGGAGGCGGCTTGGTATTCTTGTTTCTAAAATCAAACGAAGGAGTTTAGAAAACTTAAGGCTGGATATGATTGATAGAGGAATTGTGGCTGTCTGTAAGGAGACAATTAGAACTGAGCTGCATGCAATGGGTTGGCAGAAAATTCCATCACCGATCATGAAACCTGAACAAAAGGAGCGAAGGTTGAACTTGTGCTTACAGCATAGAAATTTAAACTGGGACAATGTGATTTTCTCAGATGAAAGTTCTGTGTAGCTGTTTCCTAATACACTGAAATTCTGGACCAAACAAACTGAAAAACCTTTGCATCAGCGCCCAAAGTACAGTCCGAAATTTAATGTGTGGGGTGGCATATCTGTGTTAGGGGCAACGTCCCTCTGTGTATTTGAAGGGAATGTGAACAGTGAGCGGTACACAGATATTCTCGAGGGACATTTACTTCCATCTGCTCACGTGTTCTATGGAAATTTTTTCATTTCCAGCAGGACAACGACCCAAAACATCGTTCAAAGCATTCACAGGCCTGGTTTCGGACCCAAAATATGACATTATTAGATTGGCCAAGCTATAGCCCTGACCTAAATCCAATAGAAAATGTTTGGAGACTTAGGAAGGAAAGTGTCAATAAGAAAAATCCGACAAATATTGCTGAAATGAAAGAAGAGGTGGTCCAATATTGGGACAGCATAGACCATGACTTTCTAACTTCTTTGATCTGTAGTATGCCCCGCCGCATTGAAGTCTGCATTGCTGCCCATGGTGACTTGACAAAATACTAACTGTTCACCTGTCTTTGAATCTGGAGTTATGTTCTGCTAATATTCACATTTAATATACATAAAAAAATTACAATCTTTAAATTCTCAATAATTTCTGGTTGTACTGTATATAGCATGTTAAGTGCTGAATGGGTTATCTACCCTGTTAAGTGCTGAATGGGTTATCTACCCTGTTGAGTGCTGAATGAGTAATCTACCCTGTTAAATGCTGAATGAGTTATCTACCCTGTTAAGTGCTGAATGAGATATATACCCTGTTAAAAGCTGAATGAGTAATCTACCCTGTTAAGTGCTGAATGAGTTATCTACCCTGTTAAGTGCTGAATGAGATATATACCCTGTTAAAAGCTGAATGAGTTATCTACCCTGTTAAGTGCTGAATGAGTTATCTACCCTGTTAAAAGCTGAATGAGTTATCTACCATGTTAAGTGCTGAATGAGTTATCTACCCTGTTGAGTGCTGAATGAGTTATCTACCCTGTTGAGTGCTGAATGAGTTATCTACCCTGTTAAGTGCTGAATGAGTTATCTACCCTGTTAAGTGCTGAATGAGTTATCTACCCTGTTGAGTGCTGAATGAGATATATACCCTGCTACGTGTTGCATGACTTATATACCCTGTTGAGTACTGAATGAGATATATACCCTGTTAAGTGCTGAATGAGATATATACCCTGCTGAGTGCTGAATGAGTTATCTACCCTGTTAAGTGCTGAATGAGATATATACCATCTTAAGTGCTGTATGAGATATATACCATGTTAAGTGCTGAATGAGTTATCTACTCTGTTGAGTGCTGAATGAGATATATACCATGTTAAGTGCTGAATGAGATATATACCCTGCTGAGTGCTGAATGAGTTATCTACCCTGTTAAGTGCTGAATGAGATATATACCATCTTAAGTGCTGTATGAGATATATACCATGTTAAGTGCTGAATGAGTTATCTACCCTGTTGAGTGCTGAATGAGTTATCTACCCTGTTAAGTGCTGTATGAGATATATAACATGTTAAGTGCTGAATGAGTTATCTATCTTGTTGAGTGCTGAATGAGTTATCTACCCTGTTAAGTGCTGAATGAGATATATACCATGTTAAGTGCTGAATGAGATATATACCCTGAGTGCTGAATGTGATATATACCCTGTTAAGTGCTGAATGTGGCAGGTATATACCGTTAAAGTGCTGAATGAGTTATCTACCCTGCTGAATGCTGAATGGAGTTATCTACCCTGTTGAGTGCTGAATGAGTTATCTACCCTGCTGAGTGCTGCATGACATGCCCTGATATGTTGAGTGCTGGAATGACATACTACCCGCTTCGTTGAGTGCTGAATGAGTTATCTACCCTGTTGAGTGCTGCATGAGCTATATATACCCTGTTGGAGTGCTGAATGACATATATATACCCGTTAAGTGCTGAATGAGATATATACCCTGTTGAGTGCTGAATGAGTTATCTACCCTGCTGGAGTGCTGCATGACATATATACCCTGTTGAGTGCTGAATGAGATATATACCACTGTTAAGTGCTGAATGAGTTATCTACCCTGCTGAGTGCTGCATGACATATATACCCTGTTGAGTGCATGAGATATATACCACGTTAAGTGCTGAACGGATTATCTACCCTGTTGAGTGCTGAATGAGTTATCTACCCTGTTAAGTGCTGTATGAGATATATAACATGTTAAGTGCTGAATGAGTAATCTATCTTGTTGAGTGCTGAATGAGTTATCTACCATGTTAAGTGCTGAATGAGATATATACCATGTTAAGTGTTGTATGAGATATATACCACGCTATGCTGAATGAGTTATCTACCCTGTTGAGTGCTGGAATGAGTTATCTACCCTGTTAGTGCTGTATCAGATATATAACATGTTAAGTGCTGAATGAGTTATCTATCTTGTTGAGTGCTAAATGAGTTATCTACCATGTTGAGTGCTGAATGAGTTATCTACCCTGTTGAGTGCTGAATGAGTTATCTACCCTGTTGAGTGCTGAATGAGTTATCTACCCTGTTAAGTGCTGTATGAGTTATCTACCCTGTTGAGTGCTGAATGAGATATATACCATGTTAAGTGCTGAATGAGATATATACCCTGTTGAGTGCTGAATGAGATATATACCATGTTGAGTGCTGAATGTGATCTATACCATGTTAAGTGCTGAATGAGTTATCTACCCTGTTAAGTGCTGAATGTGATATATACTCTGTTGAGTGCTGAATGAGATATATACCACGTTAAGTGCTGAATGAGATATATACCATGTTAAGTGCTGAATGAGTTATCTACCCTGTTAAGTGCTGAATGAGATATATACCCTGTTAAGTGCTGAATGAGTTATATACCATGTTAAGTGCTGAATGAGATATATACCCTGTTGAGTGCTGAATGAGATATATACCATGTTAAGTGCTGAATGAGATATATACCCTGAGTGCTGAATGTGATATATACCCTGTTAAGTGCTGAATGAGTTATCTACCCTGAGTGCTGAATGAGTTATCTACCCTGTCCAATGCTGAATTAGTTATCTACCCTGTTGAGTGCAGAAAGAGTTACCTGCATCAATTAGTACTGAGGAATGAGTTATATACCCCAATTAGTGCTAAATGAGTTACCTGCCCTGCAAAGAACTGAAGAGTTGCCTCCCCTGCCAAGGATTTAAATGAGTTACCTACCCTGCTGTGCTTTGTAGATTGAGCTGTTGGAGAGCTGCTGCATGGCTCCCTGCTGCAGGGGGTGATGCAAGTTGTGACACCAACGACATGCCTGACAGTGGATATGCAGTTGACCCCTGAAGAAACAGATCAGCATGTACATCATATCACACCAGAGACAGCAAATATCTAAATGGTGTTAGCTGTGACCTGAATGACACTCAAACATTCAGTTTAAGCCTAGTCTTACATCAGTTAGTTATAAGGTATTAAAAGGCAGAGTTATTAAGGAATGTATGTATAATGAGGAAGTCAGTGTCAGCTTGTTGAAGACATTAATCACTGTGGTGAAAACCATGAGCACTGGATGGGTGAGGTCAGAGAATCAGCCCTTGAAACAAACAATCTCCAGATCCTGCAAAGGCAGAGTATACAAGACCACTATCCCTCAACCTGCTTGACAGGTTTGATGAAATGGACTGTTGCAAAACAAACCTAAAAATTAGCATGCAAATAGAACACTCTAGAAAGTGAAACAGTCATTCATTTCTGCCTTTCTTTTCTACAAGAGAGTATCTACAGTACAGTTATACAATAGTGCTACATGATGACTTCTGTCTGGAAATACTGATGAAAGTATTGATGTCTATGACCAACAGGACAAAATTGTGACCCACCAGCAAAGTTAATATATTTTTCAAGCAAACACTGTTTGTATGTTCAAGCAAAAGATCATTGAGGTCAAACAGTAAGTGATATAGTTCCTTGTCCAAGCATATCCATCCTGATCAGTGTTGAAAATTAACCATTCAACTCAAGATGTCCTTGTCATACCTTGTAATGTAAAAGTTTGGGGGTCCTTGGGTTGAAATGCTAACAAACCCTGGAAATAGCCACTGGCCTGCTAGCCTGTGGCTAGTAAACATCCAGTTGGGCCAGTAAATCTCGTCACTGGCCCGACTGGCTAGTGAATTTACATATGGTCATTTTGTAAATATATCTCTCTCTCTGACTTGTTAAGTTATAATACAGTTTTAAATCATGCAAGATCATGACCTGATAAAAATGTTCATCATATTAGCAGCTAATGATGAAAACTGTGTCATGCCGACAATATCTTATTCTCATCTATTTTTGTAATCTTTTGCATAGTTTCTACATTCAAATTTCGGGCTAGTGAACTATTTTGGGGGCTAGTAACTTTCAGGCATAGTTAGCCCGACTTCCTATCAAAATTTGGAAACTATTTTGCAAACGGCCTGGTCCATCCTTAAATTTCAGCTTTGGCACATTCCTTGGTGTGTTCTTCAAAAATCTTTCTGGTTGTCTTTTTGACAATGAAACTACCACGGATGAATAAGAGCTGTCTCAGATTAACCCCTTAAGGCTAAGCTTTCATAACTTTCATTATTCGTGGAATTCAAAAAGTGGTTGCTCAATGAAAAAGTTGTTTGATTACTGGACAAAGATTTTTTTCTTGTTATAAAGATTATACTCTTGTAATACTGTCTGCATATGATCATGGAACAGGGATTTGGATTCCCTTCTGACTGCCCAGTCGGCAAATATAGCAAATCTCCAGTTAATTTAGATTGTATAAAATTTCATCCTTTGGAGCTAGAACTGAGAAGAGTGAACATTATACAAGTCAGAAAGAGGTATTCCTCATCCCTAGTCAGTATTTTTTTCTAAGGTCCATCAAATATTTTAAACACAGGTATCAAACTTAAACAAGGCTATTTTGTCCATATTAATATATTCCATCTGAGGTAAGGCAGAAAAATTGCATTACGCCTTATAAATATGTAGTGTATTTGACAAAGTGGATTATAATTTATGGTTTTACATCTCTCTGCTGTAACTAGTGCCACAGTGCCACCTACCGGCATGTTTGGGATCTGCTGGGCCTGAGTGGGTGAAGAGAAGGGGGAGACCACTCTGTGCAGTGTTTTGACTTTTTCCGTCTGCTTCAGGGCTCAGTAGTCCTGATCTCTGGAGACCACGAATGTTCATGGACTCTGTCACTGGGATGCTGGGATATGTGATACTTCCTGAAACTTATAAGCATTTGTAAACTAATTATCATTGTAACTGCAAGAACAGGTGAATGATGTATCAGTTGCAAAGTCCACACAATTCATTCAGTTTAAATGCACATCAAATGAACATCTATATTGTCCAATGCTGCAGTCTTGCATCAAAGGCCAGGACTAATGTATCACTGATCACATCACTCTTAATCACTGTAATGTTCCCATTCGTGTTCTGTAGCCTAAATTCATGCAAATATTTTATCACAATGGCTTGAAAAGACTTTCTTGGTGAATGAGTTGATGATAGCAATGTACAAGTATGTTAGCTCTGAGATCAGTATAACATGCTACCCGAGTTATTACACCAAACTTGGTGTTTTTATATCCAACCAGATGAATGACAACAACATATTTTGAATATTTCAGCCTTGAAGCACACCCTAGTGTCAGTTTTACAATGATCACTGGTCATGGATAAAATATTTCCAGGAAACATTCATGTCATGATGAAAAGATCCTCCTATGTATGAGTGTGCAACAAGTATAGTTGTCATCAAAGACTAATTGTGCATCTATTCAAAGAGTGCAAGCAAAGATATCACATTCTTTATGTTGGACTCTGATCAGGGTAAAAAAATAGAGTGAGTGAGTGAGTTTAGTTTTACGCTGCACTCAGCAATATTCCAGCTATATGGCGGCGGTCTGTAAATAATCGAGTCTGGACCAGACAATCCAGTGATCAACAGCATGAGCATCGATCTGCGCAATTGGGAACCGATGACATGTGTCAACCAAGTCAGCGAAACTGACCACCCGATCCGGTTAGTCGCCTCTTACGACAAGATAGTTGCCTTTTTATGGCAAGCACATGGGTTGCTGAAGACCTATTCTACCCCGGATCTTCACGGGTCGTAAAAAATAGAAGTACCAGGGGCATAACATTTCGGAATTCGGGAACCTGTATTGACAATTACAAGCTTATTGTTACTCATCTGAATGACCTGTCACTGTCTTTCGATGATCAGTATAAGTTGGTTGCTTGCTTTGTAAAGACATTATGACATCATAGTGTTTGATGTGATATCATTCTGGTTCTTACATGCCTCGTTACATTTGATCCAGCTTGCACTAATTTGAGTTACCTTACTGAAAGTCCCAGTTGCAGCACAATGTAGATCAAGTAAATCTAAATGACACACAAATATATTTCGCAAACATTTCTCTTTATAACTTCATAACTCATAATGCCTTGGTATCACAAGCCGTGGCATTGTAAATGCTTATGGTTGTGTTTCTAAGTACCACAATTTTATGTTATTTGTAAAAGATGTGACATTTCGTGCAATTAAGAAGAATCAGGTTCAAGGTGAACCGGAGTAGCTACCAGGATTTCCAGTACCCTCACGTAATGGGTTTCCGTGGTATTAAGAAATTTACAACTACGAATATGATCGCTCATATTGCCAAGTCAGATAAACATAACATAGTGTTAGACGACATACATTTGTATCATTTAATGTCAATAAAACACTTTTGTCATTCTGAAGTTCATTGTTGTCCGTATCGGACGAGAGGCGGCCATTGTGCACAAACTCTGTTGACGTCATATGTTTACGTGGTATTTCCTACAGATCAAATTACGGGTGCATAGCGCATGTCACAATCTCACAAGTTGTCAACAGCCAATCCGGAAGTGTCAATATAGGTTTTCAGTAATAACGAAGTTGATAAATTGTAATACAGTAAACGATTTTGTAGAATTAACACAATAGTCACATTTTTTCAGCATAAATTTCCATTTCATAAAATATGTAGAGTTGATCAACGGGATACGTGAAATGAAAAGTGAAAAAAAACAACTTAAGAGCTGACCCTATCGGGCTTCCATAGTTTAAAAAATAGAGCTGGGATACCCCCCTTAGGTCACGTGATTGTTTTTATTGATGACATCAGCTAGCAGACGAGCAATGTTTGGAAAATTTTGAAGCTGAATAAGTTTATAGAAAATGTTTGTAAAGATCGCACAAAAAGTGCATTACGTACTAGACATAAAGTTGCATTAGTTTTTAATAGTAGATGACTGTACGTACGCAACGCAAATTGATGAAAGTCTGAACATATATCGACTGATGAACGTAAACAATCGATAGGTGGCGCGATTTGGTGAGTGGCTCGTGAGAAATTATGTCATTAGAAAATACCAGGGTAACATAAGTACCACTGAATCATATGACGGCATGATATTCCAAGCCCACACGAATTTACTCCCATGGGCTTAAAAACTAAAAAGATGTGACATTTCATGCAATTAAGAAGGATGAAGTCGAAGGTGAACCGGAGGAGATACCAGGATTTCCTGTATTCAAGTCCACTCGAATTTACTCCCATGGGCTTAAAAACTAAATATTAAGGCCCATGGGCCTAAATGAATATTTATATTTTTATTGTTTAGCGTGACGTCTCTTTGCGAAGCATGTGGCAAACGTCAGCATACACATAACGTTTAGAGTGCAGTTAGAGGTTTTCACTTATACAGATCGGTTTGGAATCCCAAGAGAGATCAGACTTGGCTTTCAGTCTGATCTGGAGAAAATTGAATGATGAAGGCCGGAAGGTTCCGTTTGACCAGAGATCATATAATAGATCTATTATCTATATGGTCTCTGGTTTGACGAGCAGCTTGAACTTGAGTATGAGACCGGTTCAACACAGTGACGCACACTTAAACAGACAATTTTTTATAACTGAAAGTTTCAGAAGTTTATAACTTTGCGTCCCTTAATAATTGTTTATGGTTCAGGTGTTCTGTATTATTCCGTCTGTGTTTCAAGTTCATTCCATTTTATCGTGACTTAGAATCATTTCCCATTTTGTTTTTTTATTTGTTAACGAGAGGGGTCACTTTCCGTTAATAAGCCCAGGGCTTAAATACGGGAAGTCTCGGTACTACAGAAATCTTGATACCAGTACTTTTGTGAATCACAATCCGAAAGCAGCGTCAAAGCGAATTTGGTACTAACAAATACGCTTGTCGGTCTCCTCCTCTCTGTAGTCAGTCTGGAGAGTTTGGGGGCGACAGTGCAACTATTATATCGAAACCATAAACTACTATTTACTGTATTGAACATTTATTTCTGCCTTACCCTTTCACGCTCTGCTGAAACTCAAGTTTAGATCTATTGTCTTGTAGAGTAGCCTCCCTTACATGTTTGTGTAAAGGTGTAGCTAAGAATAAAACGAACAATAATATATTTTTAACTGAACATAATTTGTAAAGTTACTATTTTGCACAAAACATAACAAAATTAGTACTGCACGTGTACTATCAATGCTACATGTAGTGTGCTTACCAGTATGTAGAATTATACTGTAACGCCTATTCGTATGAATAGGAAGTATACTTTTCTACAACATTCCAAGAAAATGGCGGCGAAAACAAAAACATTTGCGTCTGCTGGGATGAAAGCGATGATGAAGCCCGTGATCAGCACAGATGTGATGGGAAATCGGAATGTTGAAATCAGGCCCGTCGGTGCCTGGGTTCAGCCAGCTACTGAACAGATAATCAACAGTCATCCCAACGCAATAGTTAGTAGTGTCACATCGAGTTCTAAACAAGTTCGATCATGTTTTGATGTCTTTTGGAAAATAGGAAGACTACCATACTTCCTGCTTGATAGATGTTTACCCATAAATAAACAATGCTGACCTTTGTGCCTTTTGAATTTGAACACCTTTGAACATTATTTAGTCGATATAATAACTGCACAATCCACAATCGGGATATTTCCGAAATCATATCTCTTCTCTGACCCCACTTCACAGAACCTCTGTTATCCTGTGACAGAGCTACAGATAACTTTTTAGGTCATTGAGTTATGTACCCAATTGTGTTCATATCAATTGGGTATCCTAATTTTCCTTTGAGTAATCAAATAAATTGTAACATAAATAGAAAGGATCAATCCAAAATAATCTGAAGTTTGGGGGCTTTCATGTGTGTATAAAGGTCAGGTACCAGCAAATGTGTGCATGAACTCTTTATGTCACATTGTTTTGTGTATTGGCTGATAGATAGATAAGTCATTAACTCAATAATAATATAACAGGAAGAAAAGAAGCTAATAATATCACTATCATGTAATGTCGTTCTTTCAATAATCTATTATGTGGCCATGGTAGTCCTATGAGACGTGTCTGGTGTTGCAGGAAGCAGCGGTGGAGGAGGAGAATCGGATGTATCAAATGCAACGTGAGAAAGAGGACCGTCTGAGACGCTTCCAGGAGGAGGTGAAGAAAAGAGTTCGGCAGCTAGATAGGCTAAAGAAACAACAGCAGGCACAGTCGATGGTTACCGCTGTAAGTGTGATGGATTGACAGATAAAGAGTTGCCAAATACATTTGGAGCAATGTTGATGTACTATCTGGAGATTAGGTCTGTTATTTATGTGTGATTGTTTCAGATTGAGCGAGAACGGCTAATAGTTAGGCAGAGTACATTATCAGCTCAGCGTCTGTCAGCCCGAAAAGACAGCTGCTCAGTGAGATCACACCAGGGCTTGAGCATTAAGTCCAGAGCAACACCAAATACACAAGGTATGGAAGGGACTGCATGTACAATAACACTGATGGCTACTGTGCAATGTCTTTATAACACTGATGGCTAATGTAAGGCATCTATAACGATGATGACTAATGTTTAATGTCTATAACAATGGTGACTAATATACAATGTCTATAACACTGGTGTGGAATATTGCTGAGTGTGGCGTAAAACTAACCTCACTCGCTCACTATAACACTAGTGACTAATGTACAATGTCTATAACAATAGTGACTAATGTACAATGTCTATAACAATAGTGACTAATGTACAATGTCTATAACAATGGTGACTAATGTACAATGTCTATAACAATGGTGACTAATGTACAATGTCTATAACAATGGTGACTAATGTACAATGTCTATAACAATGGTGACTAATGTACAATGTCTATAACAATGGTGACTAATGTACAATTTCTATAACACTGGTGACTAATGTACAATGTCTATAACAATGGTGACTAATGTATAATTTCTATAACAATGGTGACTAATGTACAATTTCTATAACAATGGTGACTAATGTACAATGACTATAATGATGGTGACTAATGTACAATGTCTATAATGATGGTGACTAATGTACAATGTCTATAATGATGGTGACTAATGTACAATGTCTATAACACTGGTGACTAATGTTCAATGTCTATAATGATGGTGACTAATGTACAATGTCTATAATGATGGTGACTAATGTACAATGCCTATAATGATGGTGACTAATGTACAATATCTATAACACTGGTGACTAATGTACAATGTCTATAATGATGGTGACTAATGTACAATGTCTATAACACTGGTGACTAATGTACAATGTCTATAATGATGGTGACTAATGTACAATGTCTATAATGATGGTGACTAATGTACAATGTCTATAACACTGGTGACTAATGTACAATGTCTATAATGATGGTGACTAATGTACAATGTCTATAACACTGGTGACTAATGTACAATGCCTATAATGATGGTGACTAATGTACAATGTCTATAACACTGGTGACTAATGTACAATGTCTATAATGATGGTGACTAATGTACAATGTCTATAACACTGGTGACTAATGTACAATGTCTATAATGATGGTGACTAATGTACAATGTCTATAATGATGGTGACTAATGTACAATGCCTATAATGATGGTGACTAATGTACAATGTCTATAACACTGGTGACTAATGTTCAATGTCTATAATGATGGTGACTAATGTACAATGTCTATAATGATGGTGACTAATGTACAATGCCTATAATGATGGTGACTAATGTACAATGTCTATAATGATGGTGACTAATGTACAATGCCTATAACACTGGTGACTAATGTACAATGCCTATAACACTGGTGACTAATGTACAATGCCTATAATGATGGTGACTAATGTACAATGCCTATAATGATGGTGACTAATGTACAATGTCTATAATGATGGTGACTAATGTACAATGCCTATAACACTGGTGACTAATGTACAATGCCTATAACACTGGTGACTAATGTACAATGTCTATAATGATGGTGACTAATGTACAATGCCTATAACACTGGTGACTAATGTACAATGCCTATAATGATGGTGACTAATGTACAATGCCTATAATGATGGTGACTAATGTACAATGTCTATAATGATGGTGACTAATGTACAATGCCTATAACACTGGTGACTAATGTACAATGCCTATAACACTGGTGACTAATGTACAATGCCTATAATGATGGTGACTAATGTACAATGTCTATAATGATGGTGACTAATGTACAATGTCTATAATGATGGTGACTAATGTACAATGCCTATAACACTGGTGACTAATGTACAATGCCTATAATGATGGTGACTAATGTACAATGCCTATAATGATGGTGACTAATGTACAATGTCTATAATGATGGTGACTAATGTACAATGCCTATAACACTGGTGACTAATGTACAATGCCTATAACACTGGTGACTAATGTACAATGCCTATAATGATGGTGACTAATGTACAATGTCTATAATGATGGTGACTAATGTACAATGTCTATAATGATGGTGACTAATGTACAATGTCTATAATGATGGTGACTAATGTACAATGCCTATAATGATGGTGACTAATGTACAATGTCTATAATGATGGTGACTAATGTACAATGCCTATAACACTGGTGACTAATGTACAATGCCTATAACACTGGTGACTAATGTACAATGCCTATAATGATGGTGACTAATGTACAATGCCTATAATGATGGTGACTAATGTACAATGTCTATAATGATGGTGACTAATGTACAATGCCTATAATGATGGTGACTAATGTACAATGTCTATAATGATGGTGACTAATGTACAATGTCTATAACACTGGTGACTAATGTACAATGTCTACAGCGATGGTGACTAATGTAAGTATTTCTGTGCAGGAGGCGTGGCACACAGTGAACCGTCAACCACGACACACGCCTTCTCGGACCAGACAGACCAGGTGGGTGCTTCCATACTGATGTCTCTATAGCTCATACAATCTAACTTAGTCCGTCTGAGCCTATGCAAAGTTTGTCCATGTTTATGTATCCTAACGTTGTACAACGTACCTGATTTCATAGTTGTTGACACTCTCTATGTATACATGTTTACTTTAGAATAGACTTGAACAGGTGCTTGTGAACATCCAGCTTCTATCAATAATAAATGTCTTGGAATATCACTAGTCGGTCATTTGCAAATTTAGAAATGCCAAATCGCTTCAAGCCATGATGTCTCAACTAGGGGTCACTATTGAGGGAGAAACAACTATTGCGATAGCAATAGTCTATTGCAGGTTACTATTGCGATAGCGATAGTCTATTGCGACCAACTATTGCAATACTATTGCCATAGTTTTTTCTCTCCTTGAATTGTCTCATTTGAAGTCATTTCCCCGAAGGAATGTATAGTTTATATGAAATACTAACAAGTTGAAGTAGATAACTGACAAGATATTTCAAACCCAGATGAAGTTTGTTTGAGAGGTAACAGGGGCGGATTACTCTAGGAAAGAGTTCCTTACGTACCCCCGCCTATTTTATAAGGTACTTTTCATTACTTGTATATCTTTGTATTTTTAAAAAAACATTAGGTGGGGGGTACGTAAGGAATTCTTACCTAACTCTAAATCAAAGAGAACGAATCTGGTAATTCCTGTATTTTGCGCTGCGCATTTATCAACGGAAGTCAATTACATGTACTAAACTATCGACAGTCACACATACTATCGATGCATCAATAGTTTTTCGTTTCTACCATCAATTAATTGCTATCAGAGACTCAACAATTGCAATCGAGGATTGAATAATTCGATGCATCGTTACACCCCTAGTCTCAACGCTGCAGAGGTATGCCTGACCATCCCCCTTGATCAGTGTTTTAAGTGACTTCTTGTTCCCAGATGTATGTGGTTGTTTTAGGTGCATGAGTTCACGAGTGAGGCAAGGCGCAAGCTTGGGGGCAGACAGATATTGACGGACAACTTCATCAGTGATGATCTGCCTGGAGGTGTGTGGAGGGTGTCCCATACAAGAGATGTGAGTTCTTGTTATATTCCCTCAGATGTAAGTCGTTGTACCGTGATATGATTGAAGTACGTTTGTATGAATCTTGTATGCGGAAGGTCACATGAGTCTGTGTGTCAAGAAAGATAAATGAGTCAGGAAGTGCATATGTAGAGACTGTAATTTAGTGTGTATGTGTAGAGATGTGATTCAGTGTGTGTGGGTAGAGATGTGATTCAATGTGTATGGGTAGAGATGTGATTCAATGTGTATGGGTAGATATCCAATTCAGTGTGTGTGGGTAGAGATGTGATTCAGTGTGTGTGGATAGAGATGAGATTCAGTGTGTGTGGGTAGAGATTTGATTCAGTGTGTGTGGGTAGAGATATGATTCAGTGTGTGTGGGTAGAGATTTGATTCAGTGTGTGTGGGTAGAGATATGATTCAATGTGTATGGGTAGATATGCTATTCAGTGTGTATGGGTAGATATGCTATTCAGTGTGTATGGGTAGAGGTATGATTCAGTGTGTATGGGTAGAGATGTAATTCAGTGTGTATGGGTAGAGATGTGATTCAGTGTGTGTGGGTAGAGATGTGATTCAGTGTGTATGGGTAGAGATGTGATTCAGTGTCTGAGGGTAGAGATATGATTCAGTGTGTATGGGTAGAGATGTGATTCAGTGTGTGGGTACAGATGTGGTTCAGACATAGGGTGATAGAAACTCGGAAAATGGGTCGGAGCGTTGTATGTGATCTACCCTCTACATTGTAGCACCCATCATCTCGACACATGAGAGATGGAGATGTCCTTGACCTTGACAGTGACAACAGCAATACTGAGGACACCGAGGACAGAGACGATGATGTTGATGAAGAGAAGTACACACATGGTATGAATGTGTTTGAACTACCAAGACATCAGCCCTGGAGTGGCTGAAAAGTTCTGACCCCAACACTGATGGATTGGGAAGATGGACTTGGTCCTTGAGAGTGTTCTAAACAATTTTGTACATTTCAAAAACACACTATACTTTTTTATCCCCGTCCGTGCGTCCGTGCGTTGTGCACATTTGTCTTTTCTGGAGCAGAACTTTAAAACCAGTCAATATTTCTTCACCAAATTTGGCACATGGATAGATCTGGTGGTGTAATGGTGCCTTTTGGTAGTTTTGGTATTCTGAATTAAATATTTTTGGCGTTTCCATGGCAACAAGTTTTACTTAAACTGAAATTGGTGATAGTGCTCTTTTTCCGGAGCAGAACTCTAAAACCGTTCAACGTTTCTTCACCAAACTTGGCACATAGATTGGTCTGGTGGTGTGCTGGTGCCTTTTGGTAGTTTTGGAATTCTGAAGAAAATATTTTTGGCATTTCCATGGCAACAAATGTGACTTAGATTGAAATTGGTGATAGTGCTCTTTTTCCGGAGCAGAACTCTATAAAAAAAACCGTTCAATGTTTTTTCACCAAACTTGGTACATACATACATCTGGTGGTGTACTGGTGCCTTTTGGTAGTTTTGGAATTCTGAATAAAATATCTTTGCATATCTGGAGCAGAACTTTAAAAACCTTTCAGTACTCTCCTTCCACTTTTCTATATACTCACCAAAACATTTGACTTAATCATAACTCGTAGACATTTTCATGAAGAATATTTTGCCATTGAGGGGGATATTGATGACTTTGTCTTCTTGTCTGATACTGGAATGATGAATTGTCATTAAGTTATGAAAGTCTTTCATACTCTTCTGTTTTGATTAGTGCTGGATTGGTGATAAGATGTAGGTTGGTGAATTCTGTATTAGCTGTTGACTGAACTTTTCATTATTTTTTTTGTTATTAAATTGAGATTTATTTATTTCAACTCCAAACTGTTCCTGTCAGATGAGAATGAGGAGGAAAGTGAAAATCGATGGCGGCGACAGATGAAGAGTGTACACTTCGATCTTTCACCCCCACAGGCAGAGACAAGACAAGAGAGGATCCAGCGACGCAGTGGTGATTGTCATAGAATTATCTCCCTTGGGTTGTTGTAAACATAGTTAACAAGGCTAGGTACACTGTTAAGCTAAATACACTGTTAACATGGCTAGATATGCAGTGTTAAAGCGGCTAGAGACACGGTTGAAAAGGGTGGATACACTTTAATAACAAGGCTAAATATACTGTTAACATGGCTAGATACGCAGTGTTAAAGCGGCTAGAGACACGGTTGAAAAGGGTGGATACACTTTAATAACAAGGCTAAATACACTGCAAACATGGCTAGATACGCAGTGTTAAAGCGGCTAGAGACACTGTTAACAAGGGTGGATACACTTTAATAACAAGGCTAAATATACTGTTAACATGGCTAGATGCAGTGTTAAAGCGGCTAGAGACACTGTTAACAAGGGTGGATACACTTTAATAACAAGGCTAAATATACTGTTTACATGGCTAGATGCAGTGTTAAAGCGGCTAGAGACACGGTTGAAAAGGGTGGATACACTTTAATAACAAGGCTAAATATACTGTTAACATGGCTAGATACGCAGTGTTAAAGCGGCTAGAGACACTGTTAACATGGCTAGATGCAGTGTTAAAGCGGCTAGAGACACGGTTGAAAAGGGTGGATACACTTTAATAACAAGGCTAAATACACTGTTAACATGGCTAGATGCAGTGTTAAAGCGGCTAGAGACACTGTTAACAAGGCAAGATCTACTGGGTTAATGAGGCTAAATTGTTTGCATAAATGACTCAATAAATCCCAGTGTCACCAATGACAGGCACAGAGCTGCACCGCCTCCATCCTCCCTGTCCCCAACATCTACACAGGGTGATGATGGTGGAGAATATGTGTACAAACATTCAATAACAACCTGTCCCACACATGCATGTATATCTTACAGTGCCAACAATGACAGGCACAGAGCTGCACCGCCCAGCCCCAGTCGTGTCTGTCCCTGACATCTACTCGGGGGTGACGATGGAAGAGAACCGACGCCGACAGCGGAGTCAGACCGCTCTCTACCGCCGACTTTTCATGGACCAGGAGCGTGAGCAAGTAAAGGAGAATCTTCGTCGACAGGAACATCGGAAACGGATTCAGAAGTAATTGTACTTGTCTATGTAGCTGATTTTGGACAGACGGAGTAATTAACATTAACAAATGATTTTAGTTGTTCGGATGTGGTAGGTGGTGAGTGTTTATTCACGACTTGTTCTAACTTGTGTGTGATGCTGTCAGTCTTGCCTGATCTGTGTCTAACTATGTATGAGCCCATCCGACCTGTGACTACTTAGGGTATGTTTGTGTCTGTCAGACTGAAGCAAGACAAGGAGGAGGCTCGTCAGGAGGAGGAGGAGTTGGCATTACGCTTGGTGCAGCCTCGAGACCCGATGACCGGGGAGACATCGGATGAAGCATTCCTCCGGGACCAGCTGGAGCAGTCTCACATCCGGGACACCTTGCAACAACATGAGCACACCCGGCGGAGACACAAGGAAATGGAGAGGTAAACCGCTGACTGCTTATGACCTATTAAGGGCCCTGTCTATCAAAGTGATCTCGGTGCTATGGCAATCATAACTCACTGTAATGACTGGAAATAAGATTGGAAGTAAGCAAGTACGGGATAGGTATACAAATGTAAAAAATATGTCATGTGTTGTCTAATTTTATAGTTGTTATCCAAGTAGTTGATGATTACCATTTGTAGGAATACCTGACTGAACATGACCTTGACATTGGGGTATTGGGAAATACACTGTCATCAACATTCTCTTCCCACAGAGGTTACTCAAGTCATATCTTCCTATGTACCTCTGTTCTAATATGGCCATATTTCCTGGTTCTCATAAAATCCCCTAGCAGCAAAAACTTGCGATTATCTCCCTTCTTTCTATCCATACAGAACATGTGTTACATTGACTTAGATCCAATATGGCAGCCACCATGGAGTTAGTTGATCAACATGCGAAGGATAGATTTCCTATTTCATGTTTAACTGAAAATCAGAAACTAGCAATAGAGAGTGCAGGAATAAATCGACAAGATGTTTTTGTTGTCTCTCGCAAGACATTTGATTATGGCAGGAGGTGTATTTTTTCTGTGTTGCTATTTCAGATATGTAGAGGCATTACGCCATAACCTCCGTGAGAAGATAGTGAAGAAAGGGGTACAGTTACCTCCCTTGTGTTGCTGTGGCGACTCGCTGTGGGACACGAACCCTGACACCTGTGCCAACAACTGTTTCTTCTATAAGAACCCTAAAGGTCAGTCCTTGTGCCCACATATGATCAGCCACAGTGCTGCCATCTACCTGATAGTAAAAGGAAATGTCACTAATCCTGAATTTTACCAGTATTGGACGAGCAGACAGGGTAATTTCTATTCCTGGAGAAACCTACCAACATATACTGTAGAACTAATGTGGTTGTCTGGTATAGCTAGATTAGTTAAGGAGCTGAGGTCATGCATGGCCCAGTTATCTAAGGCACTGTGCAGAGTTGCTTCCCTTGGGTATGCATGATCATAGGTTCGAAATCCCAATTTGCCCTTACACATGCTTGTGAGTTACACAAAAGTGCTGTATGTGAGGAATTTGCATCACTTACGGCTTAGCTGCACATCAAGCTGATACATCATGCTATAACTACAATACCATAGTTACTGGACTTCATTTTCACAAATAAAGGGAAGCATGCTACCAGTATGCTAAGAACACTGCAAAGGAGCAACCGTGTAGGAAAGTGGAAAGAACAAATTTTTCCTTATCCTGACTCATGTTTATTTGCTTGTCTTCTTCTTCTGGCGAACCTAGTGGAACACTTGTATCTCCCAATTGAAGTTCCCTTCAATAAAAAATCACTCATTAGTACTGACCACGAGTTACCTCCCTTCCACAAGCGCGTGAACGAGGGCGCCACCTGAACCCATGTGCCTCACTCTCTCCTTCTTCGCCCAGTGAGCAAGACGTGAGAGCACCTGTGTCTCCCTGCACACTATATCCTTTATTTATATTTAGTTTGTTACCTCTTATATTCATCTATAGAGGTGTAACTAGTATCATTATTCAACATGCATTGATAATTATTCGTGTTTCTGCTGCTTGATTCACGGTTCGCCGTGTTGCTCAGCAGTTTGCGTTAATAAAAATCTGCACTGTTTGTAAATTACGTTACTCTGCTACCGATCCACATTTAAAATGCCCTAGTTGCATTACTCCATGTTCTATTGTTTCTCGTTGTAAATTATATATTAATTTACCAATTTCTGCCTTTTGATAAATATTTATGTTCCGCTTTTGAGACGGAAGGCAGATAAATCTCGAAACAATCTTCAGTCATGGCTAATAGATCGAGTCAGATATATCCTGAGTTTCCTTCGGGGATAAGCGTGGGACGAGTCCGCTATATCTAGAAGCGACCTGCTTCCCAGGACGCTCCTTCATCACAGTATAAAACTAGAAGAACTTCCACGTCGTCTCAACGTATGCTCCGAGCCCCCAGGTCTACAGCCTCGTCGAAGGGAAATCCACGAAGACTACTAAAAAAACAAAACAAAAAAACCAAAAACTTTGCTTCTGATATTCAGAATTATGTTTATATGATGATGACATTTCGTTTATCATTCCAGATGTATGTCATAAGAAGTGACCAGTACGGCTACCGTCACTTCAGCGCAGATCAACATGCAATCAGAGATGCCTACGTTGACGCCGGAGATTATAACTGTGGGTCCCGTCACTATCACAGAGAGGACACCCTCAACGCCAGCGCAGACCATCCCAGACGACCTGGTCAACCAAATCATGAGGCTGATGGAAGACCGTTACGGCTTACAGAGGCCTCAGAGCCACGGGCCCCAGAGCCCACCCCATACTAAGTCATACAGGGCCCCAGAGCCCGCCTTGACTTCGCCTAGGGCCCCTGAGCCCATAGACGCGCCTCCGCGAAGGGCAACCCTGCCTGAGTGAGCTCTTTGCATAAGGTATCCCAGGCGCCTCAGAGAAGGAGCTAGAGTCTGACCTTTGCAAGAGGCTTCATGGGAGAAGGAGGTGCTTTCGCCAGCACGCACCTTGTCATGTACGGAAGGGTGTTCGCAGCAAGCACTCATATGTCGGATCGGGACACTGACTCCAGACATTCGCGCAAGACGCGAAGGCTAAGTGGTTCTTCAACGCCTAGAAGACGTTCGCGCAGCCCTCAAAGTTCGAGAAGCCCAGAGCGTCGGCGAAGCCATCACCGTTCTCGAAGCCCACAGTTTCCGCGAAGGATGTCTTCTCCAAGGTCTACATACACTAGCCAATCGTCAGTCCGTTCTCCTCAGTCCTCACATAGATCTTCTTACAGATCGAGGTCTCCGACATACGACCATACGTCAGAGGAAGACGATGGTATCATTAAGATCCGACTCTAGACACTTCGCTAGGAAGTCCCAGGCCGCCTCCGCGAAGGAGCTACAGCCTCACCAGTTGAGAGGGACATCGCGGAGAAGGAGCGCTTCGCCGAGCCCACACCCTGTAGAACACAGAGGTCGTTCGTGAAGCAAGCGCTCATATATTGATCGGACTCTGACTCGATACTTTCGCGAAGGTCGCGAAGGCTAAGTGGCTCCAAGTCTATTTCACCCAGAAGATCTAGAAGCGCTATTTCGAGATCTTCGCTAAGTCCCCGGCGTCACGAGGAAGTCTCCTCCAAGGTCTCCATATACTAGCCACTTTCGTCATATATAGCCACTCGCCAGTCCGTTCAAGACATCACATGAGTTGCTTATCAACTGTAAGCCATATGTCCGCCTACAAGCCTACGCGAAGACAATTGCACAGGCTATTTACAACACACAACGCCGCTGTATTAATTTATCAACGGACTAAGAGCCTAATTAGGGATCTTCGCCGACTACCTACTACGATACAATTATCTACATGCGACCATTACGCAGATCTGCAGACAATTCAAAACGAAATTGAACAGCAGTCTTGTTACGGCGAAGTAAAACTCATAATCGCCAACCATTTCCTCAGAAGTAATATGTACAACAAGTTCAGCTTTAACAGTCTACAAGCTGACAACTTGCAAGGTTATTGAACCTTATATAAGGAAGTCGGAATTATCTTCAAGACTGAAGTTACTTTCACGACAGCCTGGAAAATAACTTATCCAGCATTAATATTACAGAGCGAGGTATTTTTACCGGAGGTTTTCAAGCGTTTACCATCAACCCTCGAAACACGTGGTCACTCGGGTAACCGGGGAAGTTACGGTGAAGACCGACGATTGTTCTAATATCAACGACGGCACTATATTATACAAGGTTCCTTTCCTGATACACCGGTGACGCCACAGCTGGTACTCTACAGAATCAAAATGCCTTGTTCTGATTGGACAGAGATGGACAACGCCTCACGCAGAGGTCGCATCATAGTTCACAGTTCAACACATAGGTTGCAAGTGACAACAAAATATCAGTGAACGAGCAAGCCTCCTTACAGTCCAGCTAATCTAAACCTTCATGATTGGGCTGCCTTCTTGAGGTTAGAGACCTCCCTGTCAAGTAAGGACGAGGACACGGCAGTCAGACGATTTTTTACATAAGTTCAACGATGGCAGTCACCCCTGGTTATGCATCTACATCGCCAAGCACTTCGAGTTTAAGTTACCTCGACGACGGGATACAAATGGATCCAAATCCATAGCGTCTCAGACTACACTTGAATTCATCATCAAGCTACTAACACAACTAGATGGTTAGTAAACCTACTTAAGTTGGACCTAGAACCTTCGCAAGATCTACTATTCTAGGTTTTTGATTTGTAATGGCGCAGAATCTTATAATTGTACCGGAGGACCATGGATCAAGATCCAACAGTCATTTCCACAAGCCTTACTATCTCCGCTACCACTACGACAGTGACAGAGTCTGTTGGGGTTACGCACTTCAGCTCAGCTCAAGACATGACAGACAGAGGCAGACTACAATTACATCCGCTACAAGTCATCAACAACCGCATCTAGACTAATCTCTACCGCTCAATCATCGGTTCAGGGTCAAACCTCATCTACTATGATGCACCAAGAGATCGAATGTTTGAATAGGCTGCCTCGTTAATAGAGCTGGAATCGATAACACTTTCTCGTAGATGTGTCACTATAAGGTTGGGGAGCCCATCTTGCCAACAGGACGGCATCAGGGCTATGAGCAATCAAGAGAGCAATTACACATAAATCTGCTAGAGATGCAAGCAGTAATAAACGCCTTAATACACTGGAGCAACTTACTACAGTATACCCAGTGGATGATTCACACAGTCAATTCGACAGTGGCGTTTTATGTGAACAAACTAAGCTCAACCAGGTCCCCGAACATATCGACTCTGTTTTCAATTGTTCGATTTAATCAACAATCTCAACATACATGTCAGAGCATATCACATTCCAGGAGCAAAGAATGTGATAGCAGACGCTCTCTCTCTCGCCCACACACCACCATCGCCGACAGAATGAATGCTCCATACAGAGATATTCACTCAAATTATCAAGGAAATAGGAACTACACTAATAGACCTATTTACCATTCGATTCAACAAACAACTGACAACATTCGTATCGCCAGTTCCAGACCCACTAGCATTGGCAACAGACGCACTAAGCATATCGTGGGAAGGTCTCAACGCGTACACTTTTCCGCCACCAGCGTTAATCTCACAAGTTTACTCTAAATCAGTCCAAAGCAGAGCCTCCATCTGATTTTGGTCACGGGCCTACTGACCAGCGAGGAAGTGGTTTCCAACTCTTATTCAAGAAATCGGACAACCAATACTACACCTTACAGAGTGCTCGAATCTGTTAATACATCCGCACACCAAACAAGCGCACGGAAAGCCAGATATATTCCAACTTCACGTATGGATTGTATCAAGGCGTGTCTGAATAACAAGTTATTCAGCCAGAGCGGCAAAGCAGTCTAACTTGCCCTGCGTAACTCAACTGGCAACTTATACGATGACAAATGGCACAGTGTTGTCAATTATGCTGCAAAGGAAGGATTTACAGCTAGATATGCTACTCATCCTCAAGTGGCGGACTACTTATGTTATCTACGTCAGACTAAGATTTTATAAGGCTCAACTTGTCCACCTATCTTGCAGCAATAGCTCTATCATAACTGAGAACGGGCCAAGTTCTAACCCAGTTACCGCCTTTGCTACTTGAGCTTTCTGATTGGAGGATTAAAACGTAAGTTTCACGCTCCAACTTGGGATCTGAATATAGTGCTCCAACACCTCACAAGTGAGGTTTATGAACACGCTTTGATGATATACTTGGACCCCATGATACGATGAATCTATCACGATGGCCAGTAAGAGCACTGAAAATATATCTCCACCGAGCCAAACAGGAGGGAAAATGCAAGGGATTATTTCCTCTATCAAGCTACGCAGACGGAAGTCTCAATACTATCTCCTTTGGATCAGAACTGTCATACTACGTGCCTACAAGACTGCAGGATCGACCCTCCATGAGCTTCTAATCCTCATGATATTAGAGCTAACATATACAATGCTATTGAAATATGGAGGGTTATTTCTGGAGATCCGATATGGTGTTTGCCAACCACTATCTGAGAGATATCACCACCGAGGACGCCTCAGGTAGCCACCAATTCGGGTCCCATGGTCCTCGCGACAACAGTTGACAGTTCTCGGAGAAGATAAGTCAATCTTACAGATTTTTACTTATCTTATAACAGTACTAAATAGCTACATGCTATATATATTTTGCTTAAGTTCTTTTATTATCTTAAGCTCAGTACTATGGTTATTATATCATACAATATATAAGCTAACAACTATACGGAGTTTGTTATTATATATTTAGCTTAAGTTAATCATATCTTAAGCTCAGTACTATGGTTACATTATAAATGTATTAGCTAACAAACTCTACAGAGTTTGTTTTTGCTATTATATATGTAGCTTAAGTTCATTATATCTTAAACATAGTACTATACTCATATCATAAAAATATATTAGCTAACAAACTCTACGGAGTTTTTTTTGCTATTATATATGTAGCTTAAGTTTCATCATATCTTAAGCATTATGGTTACATTATAACATGTATTAGCTAACAAACTCTACGGAGTTTTTGCTATTATATATGTAGCTTAAGTTTATTCATATCTTAAAGCTCAGTACCGTGTTTATATCATATAAGTATATTAGCTAACAAACTCTAAAGAGTTTTTACTATCATATACTTAGCTTAAGTTTCATCATATTTTAAGCATTATGGTTACATTATAAAATGTAATAGCTAACAAACTCTACGGAGTTGTTTTGGCTATTTAGGTTGCTTAAGTTAATTATATCTTAAGCACAGTTCTATAATCATACTATATATATGCCTACAACTCTTAGGAGTTCTACTATTATATATATATGTTCAGCTTAAGTTTCAATTCTTAAGCTCAGTCATATGTTCATTTCATAACATGTATTAGTTAACAAACTCTCAGTAGTTGGTTACTATTATACAGCTTAAAGTATCATTATACCTTAAGCACAATTCTGTTATAACTTACATATATGCATATTGTAAGCTTACTACTTTGGTTCTATAAAAGTATTCATTATAAACTATCAACAGTTTATACTATCACATTAATAGCTTTAGCTTAATTAATGTTCTATATACTTTTATTATATTCAGTAAATTGTAATGACCCTTCTATGGCAACTGATAAGTTAACAGCAGGAATTCAGTTCAGTGCCTTCATGAAGTTCCCTTAGGGTTATTACAATTATCTCAGTTCAAATCACTAATTAGTAAAATCCAAAGTATTTATAATCCCACCTCCTATTCCGTAGGATTCTACAAGCAAATAAACATGAGTCAGGATAAGGAAAAATATGAAATTTTTAGAGTAAAATTACTATTTTTATACTTATCCTGACTCATGAGGTAAGCCCTCCCGTCCTCCCCACTTAACACTTTGGATTTCCCTGGAAATTCATTTGTTGGGCTCAGTATATGAGGAGAGAGTGAGGCACATGGGTTCAGGTGGCGCCCTCGTTCCCGCGCTTGTGGAAGGGAGGTAACTCGTGGTCAGTACTAATGAGTGATTTTTTATTGAAGGGAACTTCAATTGGGAGATACAAGTGTTCCACTAGGTTCGCCAGAAGAAGAAGACAAGCAAATAAACATGAGTCAGGATAAGTATAAAAATATTAATTTTACTCTAAAAATTTCATTTTTGGCAATGAAAGATGAAGATTTACCTTTGCAATTAGTCAATGGTTTTGCTGTTTGTGAAAATATGTGGGTAATTGGTATTGAAGACTCATTAAATAATGGTATGGTACAGGATTGAGTGCTGTTAAATTGAAAACCTTGAGGCTATAGAATCCCAGTGCCACACAATAGGGGTATGTAGTCAGGAAGAAACATTAGACACTCACACACCCTCTCTATGTCACATAGAACAAATCTCTGCATGCCCACCATGTTAAATCCTCTCATGTTTCAGCGTACGCCAAGGCGCTGCAGTCTCTCCTGGTGTCCTGTGAAGTTGTCTGACCCATGCTTCCTCCTAAAAACACTACAGCCGTCAACCACCATGACTGCAGTCACTGACCTGTGAAGTTGTCTGACCCATGCTTCCTCCTAAAAACACTACAGCCATCAAGCACCATGACTGCAGTCACTTATCTGTGAAGTTGTCTGACCCTCGTTTCCTCTACAGAACAGTATGTGCATCAACCTCCATGACTGCGGTCACTGATCTGTGAAGTTGTCTGACTCTCGATTTGACTACACAAGAGTATGTCCATCAAGCAGCACCATGACTGTCTGACTTTCACTCTCTCCAGCAGAACAGTATGTTCATCAACCGCCAGCAACCATGTCATTATCAACAGTCTCTCCTGGTGTCCTGTGAACTTGTCTGACCCATGCAGACCAGTATGTCCATCAGTTACCACTCATCTCTGTCAGTGAAAGTTGCTTCAATGAACTAAACATTTAGATGACAGAGCATTTTGCAGAGGAGATCTGATGCTGTTGATTTACATCTGGTGTGTTCCTGACATGGTTGATCTGACCATCAGGCTAATTCTGAACAGGTGCCCAATATCACTTTTGGGTTGGACAATCAGTGTTGTCCTGGGTGGTTGCCAGACCATCAGTTCTACTCTGTTCAGTGATATGAACGTCGCTTATATCATTAAACCTGAAAACATCACTGAAACGGTATAGTTTCACTACTTCAGCAATTCATTAGAGTGAGGGAGTGTATGTTGTTTTATTATTTATGTTGTGAATAATCTCGAAACAGGCAATCAAGAGAATGGCAATCAAGTCAGGGCGGCCATGTGCTCTGCTAGGTATTTAACAAAGTCAGGGCGGCCATGTGCTCTGCTAGGTATTTAACAAAGTCAGGGCGACCATGTGCTCTGCTAGGTATTTAACAAAGTCAGGGCGGCCATGTGCTCTGCTAGGTATTTAACAAAGTCAGGGCGGCCATGTGCTCTGCTAGGTATTTAACAAAGTCAGGGCTGCCATGTGCTCTGCTAGGTATTTAACAAAGTCAGGGCGGCCATGTGCTCTGCTAGGTATTTAACAAAGTCAGGGCGGCCATGTGCTCTGCTAGGTATTTAACAAAGTCTGGGCGGCCATGTGCTCTGCTAGGTATTTAACAAAGTCAGGGGCCATGTGCTCTGCTAGGTATTTAACAAAGTCAGGGCGTGCCATGTGCTCTGCTAGGTATTTAACAAAGTCCAGTGCCATGTGCTCTGCTAGGTATTTAACAAAGTCAGGGCGCCATGTGCTCTGCTAGGTATTTAACAAAGTCAGGCTGCCATGTGCTCTGCTAGGTATTTAACAAAGTCAGGGCTGCCATGTGCTCTGCTAGGTATTTAACAAAGTCAGGGCGGCCATGTGCTCTGCTAGGTATTTAACAAAGTCAGGGCGGCCATGTGCTCTGCTAGGTATTTAACAAAGTCAGGGCGGCCATGTGCTCTGCTAGGTATTTAACAAAGTCAGGGCTGCCATGTGCTCTGCTAGGTATTTACAAAAGATTGTGACTGGTCATTGAGAATTGTAACCTGAATTCAACTGTTATCTTTTAGAAAGAGCTCTAAACTTATTATTGATACACTTTTCCAAGCTTCAGTGCTGAGCAGGACCTGCAGCATTCTCCTGTGTACACAATCAATCATGCTTCTATATTACATGCTCAGCCTCCTACAGTGATAAAGTGCAAAGGAACTGTCTGATTATTTTAACTGTATATATTGTATATACTCATGATGCAGATGAACATATTGTTGCTACTAGGACAGATCAAATACCAACATTTGAACAATAAAACTCTAAATATTCCTTCTGCTGATTGATTTTTGTTTTAAAATGACTAAAAGAGTAACTGTCAACTGCCTTGTCATGCAAGTTACACATACATTGGCAGTGTGCGCTTAAACACAAGGGATTACAAGATCTGCTGCCATGTGACACATCTGTTATGAATTATTGTCACGATTTATTTTTCTAAGCAGTGATTATTATTATAAACATAAGGTCCTTGTCATCCCATGCTTGCCATAAGGTGACCAACTAGATTGGATGGTCAGGGAAGAAGGCTACCTGTCATCATCTCAATTGTGTGGATGGCTGCTCGTGATATCATATTGGCTTATTTAGAGAATGACCTCATATAGCTGGGATATTGTTTAGAGTGTCATTAAACACCAAACATTGTGATGTGAAAGATCCAGTTTGCTGGTGAGTGAGTCACTTCATCAGTAGTTGTGAGTGAGTTTAGTTTATGCTGCACTCAGCAATATTCCAACTATATGGCAGCTTTCTGTAAATAATAGAGTTTGCACCAAACAATCCAGTGATCAACAGTATGAACATAGATATACGCAATTGGGAACCGATGACATGTGTCAACCAAGCCAGAGAGCCTGACCACCCGATCCCGTTAGTAGCCTCTTGGGACAAGCATGGGTTACTGAAGATCAAGTCTGACCCGAATCTTCACAGGTAAGTAGTTGTTGCACACACTGTCACTTGGTTCAGGTGGGTTGTCAGTGTGGGCGCCCATTTCTGGTGTCCCCGGCCATGATATTGCTGGAATATTGCTAAAAGCGGCCTAAAACCAAACTCAGTCAATCAGTCACTCACTGTCACTTGGTTCAGGTGGGTTGTCAGTGTGGGTGCCCATTTCTGGTGTCCCCCGCCGTGATATTGCTGGAATATTGTTAAAAGCGGTGTAAAACCATACTCACTCAACTGATGTTCTCCTGCCTACATCTGACCTTTTTTCAGGGTTACTGTAAAATCGATTGGGTTCATTGATACAGATGCTGTATCAAAGGCAATGGATCGTTCAGGTGTGTGTTTTTCTCTTCTAGTGCGACCAGATACACTGGGCAAACTTATAAATGGATACTGACAATCCGCTGTTCGGGAAGAAGTTACCTTTCATAAAGTGTTTTTAATACATAAGAGATTTTTACCGATGAATAGCCACAGGAATTTTGTGGTAACTCCTCGCTCATTCGCGAAATCTTTGTGGAACCACAATAAAACCTTATCTAATCAGTGTTAACGTGGAGACTGTTGAACTTAATGGAATAATTTGTGGTTTGCAGACAGGTATCACATCAGTGTTTGGTAAGCAGATAAGTTGCAAGTCTTCATGACTGTCACAAATAGATACAGGAAACCTTTAATAAAGTGTCACATCTTTCACGCCTGCTATGTTTCTCAACAACCAAGGAAGGCAACTCTTAAGTGGAATTTTAATTTATACTCTGGCCTCTGCATTGCCATTTGATTTTTAGTATCTTAGACTGAATGACCAGATTCACAGGGCGTTGTAACTCGAAAAAAACCAATGTGTAAACTCTACGTGGATTCAAACAGTTTGCCTGTCGGTTTTCCGATTCATATTTCAACGAACTGAAACAAGTAAAAGTCCATCGTTAATCATTAAGGTGACGGTAATATGTTTTGACGGGTATTGCAATTGGTATTGCAATTGGCCACTTGCATTTCGGGTGTATACAGAGCAATGCAATCACATATATAAAGGAAAGGATATGGTAAGTGCATACGGAAACCATGCAGGTTTGAATACTATCTAGCAGGTGCATTTTTTTAACTATGACAATAAATTATGAGGGAAGTGAGATCTATAGGAGATAAAGAATGTTAGGACGCCGTCCAGTTGAACTCCCGTCTGAGGGAAATAAACGTATGATCTCGAACGGATGGTGGAGAATCCTGAGTTTGCTGTTGCACCCACTACCATGGCATTTTTCCAAGACCACCACTGATCACAAGATTTTTTCCCTCTGACGGTAGCTCGATGTAAGGAAAGAAGACAAAATTCAAGGAGTGTTTATTGTTCACGGAATAAGGGTTGAAATGCTTTGTGTTGATAGTAATCAGGTGACAGAATATCGGACCGAGTGGTATTCAGTTCAGTTTCCCCTACTTTTCTTAGAAGAGTATACTATAATATGTAACAAAACCCCACAATACCTTGATTACCCAAAATGAACCCAAAGAACCCCAATTAGTTTAAAGATGACAATTTAACAATGAGTCACTGTTCATATTAAGGTATATACCAGTTCGCGGGTACACTTATGTCGCTGGACAGCCCCGTAACACCAGGAAGTCATACACTGCACAGTGTCCTGAACTCATTGCTGTCATGGCTGCTGTGTTCCTGTCGTTGTCCCTGGCGTTTATGTTAGTCATGTTCAGTGACAGGATGTGCTTCAACATCCTCAGACGTCAAGGAGGCCATGTGTAGTATGGTTTTACCACTGTTATCCACAGAGGAAATTCGACAACCTTTACTCACAAGTAGATCCACCATTCTTCTGTGTCCATGATACGCTGCTCTCATCAACGGTGTCCTTCCGTGCCTTCCACGACTGTTAATATTCACTATGTTCCGGGAAAGGATGTGCTTTACCATGTTGATGTTGTTCCCAAGTATGGCCAAATGAAGTATGTTGTCACCGTCGTCATCCACCAGTGATACATTAGCTCCCAAACGTACAAGAAATTGAAACACGTTTCTGTGTCCATTAAATACAGTCTTCATCAGTGGAGTTGTTCCGGGCTTTGTTCTACTGTTGATATAGACATTGTATTGTTTGAGTACATGTTCCACCATGTCCACATGCCCCCTGTGCAGGCCCAGTGCAGGATGTTGTAACCATAATAATCCAATAGTGAAGCATTAGCTCCTTGTCTTATAAGAAAGTCAATGATCACCCCGTGTCCCTTCCATGCTGCCACCATGAGTGGTGTCCACCCTTTCTCTTTACTTCTGCTGTCGACGTCAGTCACATTGTGGGCCAGGATGCGTCTTACTTGCTCCAGGTCCCCCTTTCTACATGCATCATGAAGTGGGTTGTTGTTCAGTTTCTTTCGATGGTCAATGCTTTGTGGTGGAGATTTCTTGGGATAGTCCAGCTTACCATCTGTTGATTAATATATTATCATAGAATAGTGACATTGATTTGTTAACATTAAGAGAAAAATCTTGTTTGAAAACAGTTTTTTAGAATTGCAGATTGGAACTGCTAGTGATTCGTTACACGTGAGCATTGGTTAAGCACCGCTCGACTACATGGGCAATACAAAAATGTATTGGTCTAAACAGGCGATCACGTGATCTCAAAAGCTATGGGTCGCACGTTCACGTGCTGCGAAGGCGCTAGGGCACATTGGGTATACATTTCCTGACTGCAGTATGTGCTCGGCAGGTTTCTGAACTGATGTAAAGACAACAGAATACACAGTAGCAAGTTATTGGCATGCACGAAGAGCACGTGGCTGCTGTTGAAGTAGAGGATCATCCAAGACCTTGAAGATCAATGACCACGATAACCAAGTCCAAATTCGTCTGGCAGCACGTAGTCCTATGACCCACTGAACTGGTCCGACAATGGATATTGGGAGTCCGACTCTCCACCAGTACCAGCATAAGGGGGCTGCAGGTCGGAGGGCAATTCCTGCCTGCGGTAGCTATATTTCATAACGTTTGAGTTACACCCAAGGCTGCCCAGTTTTACAAAGATTTGAAAGAACGTCAACAAGACCATCATGCTCATGATGTGTTAGAATTCTCTATTCAAGGTTTCAGTAAAACCATCAAAACGTTTCATGGTACACATGTAGATCACATTTAAAAAATTGCCGAATTTTAAAATGTCTAATGCAATTAACTATTTTACTTGTATCATGTGTACCTTTTTCTTGTGAACATTTGACCTGGCTTTGCGTGTGTTTACGATGGGTGCCACCGGTGGAGGAGGCAAACACCAGGTATATGTCATCATCCCTTGACAGTGATATGTACACACATGCTCACTGTTTTGTCAAGAAACCCGAACGTGATTTCAGCAGTGATTTTCAGCATTTAATGGTTTTGAAAAGTATTAATACACAGCAGCAGCATTTAAGTTGTCATTAACGGTATTAACTTGAAATGGTGTTGCAAATGTACGTCTGTTGAGAATACACGTATCTTCCTTGATGTTGGCCTCACAAAGTAAACGTGAAAATGAACAGCCGTTACCTTGTACACAAAC